GATTGGGCAGAATCTATAGATCACTTTGGGTAATTTTTATTGGTTGACATCTTAAAAATATTGTTCTCCAAACCATAAACATGGAAAATTTCTTAAATTTGTCTTCATTCTCTTTCAGCAGTGTTCTGAAGTTTTCATTGTCCAAGCTCTTCAAGTACATTGTTAACTTTATTCCTAGGTATTTTATTCTCTTAGATGCTATTGCAAATGGATTGTTTCCCTAACTTCCCTTTCAGTTTTCTTATTATGAATAGGTAGCAACTCACCTTTTGCTTTGTTGTTTGACCTTTGTATCCCCTATCAGCTCTAGAAGTTGTTCTCTGGATTCTGAGATTATCTATAGGATCATATCATCCACAGTGTGGACAAAGTTTTAGTTTTTGTTCTGAGTAGGACAGTACAGGGGAAAATGCCACAGTAGCAACTGTTTCTAAACAGAATGTTTATACTGCATTCCAAAGTGATGCAACCACATGTAATTGAGTTGAAGTTAACTCAGTCTTAAGTGGGGATTTCTAACTCAGGTAAATTTCTGAAGCTTGCCTCATGGAGACGGACTGCCACAAAGTAAAAAACAGTCCATTCCCAGCAGGAATGGATGGAGGTGGCGAACTCCAGCCGATTGTAATACAATTCACCTGAGAGTGCAAATTAGCAGGGCAATCTACTTGGATGAATGATAAAAAAGTTCTAGTAATTCTGAAAATATACTTGTTTTCTGGCTCATCCATACTTAGTATTTTCTAGGATTTTTTTAATCTTAAGAGTTTCTCGAAGTATAATCTGCATACTCTGGAGGTGGGCGGGGGGTCAGGGAGGTGGTGTGCCCCCAAGCACTTCCTAAGAGTTCAGTAGGTCTAAACTAACATGTTCTTTTTCATTGTGTTGACATTAGTGACACATAAACAATCATGGGGGAAATTCTCAACACTTCTCAGTAATCAAAGCGCAATACCCATCCACAGGTGGCAGTTGTTAGATGTCATCGAGTTGAATACAAATTAAAGTGACCCTATGAACAACAGTGCTTACCCTAGTCCTATTCTGGGCCAGCCTTACAATCTGACACATTTGAGCACACTGCAGCAGTCACTGTGTCAATCCACTGGGTTGAGGGTCTTCCTCTCCCTCACCGTCCTCTGTCCTCCTAGGAGTAGCCGCCCAAAGCATGCAAGATGAAACTTTACTTTCTTTTGCCTCAAATTACCACGCTGGCTGCGTCTTCTCCAAGATTTATCTGTTGGGTTCTTTTGGCAGTTCATAAAATATTCAGTACTCTTCTCCAACATCACAGTTTAAAGTCATCAGTCTTTCTCCTATCTTTATTGTCCAAGCTCTCAGAAACGTTAACAAGTGACTGAAAAGACCATGGTCTGAATCAGGTGCACCTTAGTCCTCTAACATACACCACTGCTCCTCAGTAATTTGGAGAGGCTGCTGGCTGCAGACTTTCCAAAGCAGTAAGTCTCCTGACCAAGTGTACTGACTGTGGATCCAAGTAAGATGAAGTCTTCAACAGTTTCAGTCTTTCAGTCTTTTCTCCATTTATCAATATGTTGCCTACTGGTGGTGAGGATTTTTCCCCCCTTGGCATTAAGATGGAATCCATATTACATATACATACAGATACAATTCCAACCATAGGAGTAATCACCGTATTCTTCACTCTTGCACTTGCACAGCAATTTGGGGTTTTACACACACACACACACACACAAACACACACAAACACACACAGTTCCAGTGTCTGATACAATTAAAAGAACAACTATTTTGACCCATGAATATGTTAATATTTTGTTAACATTAAGCACTTCCACTGCATACTGAAATATGTCTTAAGGGAAAACACTAGGTGACCAAGTTGTGAGCCAAACTTTACTTCTGGGCAGGAATTTTATCTGTGAGAACAAACTGGTTTATTCTGATATGGTATTTTCTAAAAAAGAAAGAAATAAGCCAGTCAGTTGAAGGAACGCCACTTACACTTTCTGGAAAATTTGTACCTCTTTTGCCAGCTTTTCAAAATTTGTGACTTTTCTGAGGAGATTGTTGATTCTCATATTGCTTCACAAATTTGCATGTCATCTTGCTCAGAGGCCATCACGATCTCTGTATCATCCCCATTTTAGTGTATGTGCTGCTGAAGTGAGCCCTCAGAAATATTTTTTAAGCATAAGAAAACTTTATCAAGGTTTGGATCTTCATAACTTCCAAAGCACAGTTTTGCATATCACCAATGCAAGAGGGTACAAATGAGACACAGGCTAAGGATTTATTTCAAGTAAAGACAGAAATGGATGCTACCATATTGTGTGCTACTGAGCTAATCTGGACCCATACAATCTATAGGGAAGAGAAGCAGGACTGCCCAGTGGCTTCTGAATCTGTCAACTTTACAGGAGCAGTATCTCAGAATGACTGCCGCACTCACTCAACTATCCATGCTATCTAACTATTCCTTCCTTCCTCTCTAAATTTCTTATTTGTGTGGAGATTTTTGTCACATACCTCACCCAAAAGACAGTGTGCTTAAGAGGATGTGAAAATCCATCAATCTTAACAAGATTTTGAGACTTACAAAATTGGTACAATGACTTGGAAAAGGAAAACAGTGTCACTCACTGAACTTTTTTCCTTTAGTATGGAGTGTTTATATTACTTAACATGTATTGAGTTTACTATTATGTTTAATTGGATTAGCTTTTCCAAACTCTTAGTAACTCACAAAAACTGAAGTTCTTTAAGAACAAGAGGATCCTAGGCAAAACTTTGAGAATGTCTGCATGATTTAAATAAATTTACAGAAAAGTCAGACTTCAGTTCTTGGGAGATCATCTCAGTTTTCTGCTTATATTAACATCTATGTTGTAATAGTTACTAACAAGGATCACAGATTTGTTCGTACTATGGGTACATCTGAGGAACTCTTGTGACCTAGTTAGTAGAATGCTGTGCTGAAAGGATGTCCTGCATGCGTCCAGTGGTTCCATCTCCTGGCCCTCAGGAAAAAGATGGGCAGTATCCTCTCATTAAGATTTACAGCCTCAGAAGCCCAAAAGATTGCAGTCATAAACTACACAACTTAAAATACAGGTTACTACCAATTCATTCTATCATTTGCTGTATATTTTTACTAATGCCATTTTTTTATTACCAAGCAAGGCCATTTTATAATTAAAGATTATCCTCCAAATAATTAGCAACAGCTAACAGATATATTGCATCTTAACATTAAGACAGAAATCCTCACCATAGACTGATTACATCATGATAGATTGAGGAGAGATTGAAGTTGTCAACAATTTCATCTTACTGGGATCCACAATCAACCTTGGTACCAATAGTCAGGAGATCAGGAGGCATTTTGCATTGGGAAAGTCTCCAGTTAGCATATCCAAATTACTGAGGAGCTGTGATGTCAGTATGAAGACTAAGGTGTGCCTGATTTAGGCTATGGTACTTTCAATCATTTGCTCTTCATCCGAGAGCTGGACAATGAATGACAAAAGAGCAATCAGGTATGCCTTGGAAAAAGTGCAGCCAGAGTGCTCCTTTGAAGAAAGAATGGCGAAACTTCAACTCACATACTTTAGGCATGTTGTTAAGAGAGGTTATTCCTTGGAAAGGAACATTATACTTGGAAGGGTGGAGAGTTAGTTAAAAGATCCTCAATGGAATGAACTGACACAGTGATAGCAGCAATGGGCTCAAAGTTATCAGAGATGACGATGACACAGGACAGAGGTTCACTAGGTTGCTATGAGTTGTACTCGACTAGCTGGCACCTAATCACAATTTATATACATGGAGAAATGATCCTGAAAACTCAGTGTACCTATGATTTGAACCTAAATCATACATCAAAGCAGTTCCCCTTCATACTAAATGCTATTATGGATAGTTTCAGTGGCAACTCACTATGACAGGCCTCGTACTTTAGGGAAAAAAACCTTAAGCATGCTAGATCTTTACAAATGCTTTTTATTTAAATGACTCTATAAGGGGGAAAAGATTCATCTTTCCAATGATAAAAACCAATTAATTAAAAGTACAAAAAGGTCCAAGAGAGTAAGTCTTGACTCAGAAAATAATGAGCTCTCTCAGGGACTACTGAATCTCTCTTGACTTTGATTATGATGCTGAAATGGGGCCATTTTAGCAAGCACACCAGTCTACCTGGAGGCTGGACAGCAAGCTCCCTCCAACCCCCTACGCTGGCCAACTGAAGAAAGACATTTATGGCTAAGACGTATTTCCTACTGGAAACTAAAAGGGGGTGAGAGGCAGAATTTTACATTTTCAAATGCTCTTTGTGGAACTTCTGATCATTTGCCTGACTTAGAGAGTTGTACAGCAATACAAAGACAGAGGGCTACCTGTAACTCTACTAAGGATGGTGGAAGGAACATACAGAAACGTTCTGAGCATGAGATAGATAGATTCATGTACTGGTCGGCAGGGTGAGGGAGCAGGAGCAGCATACCTTAAACTCATGTAATTTAAGTACTGTTAAATAGTTCATGGTGGAGTAGTAGGATGTGTGTTGGGTTACTAACAAAGGTTAACAAGCATGAGAGAAAGAGAATATATGAAGCAGCAGGCTCCTGTTCATATATATAACCTTGAAATCTTGATGGACAATTTCTATGTGTCTAAACCAATCAAATGGCAGTCAGTAGGTTTGTGGGGTTTTGGCGGCTGTAGTTCACAGCAAGAACACTATTACCTACATGTTTAAATATACTTTTATTTCATTTTAATATAATTTTAAATGATCTGTTCATTTGAAACACTTAGATAAAAATCTAAAGTAGCACTTGTCTCATAAAGAAAGGCCTGATGATGTACTTCCAAAAAGCCAGTGAGAACCCATGGCAGCACAGTTCTACTTTGCAACACGAAGGCAGGCACCATGAATCAGAACTGACTCAATGGCATCGGGCTTGGCTTTTTGCTTATTACTTTCAGGAACATACACAGTATCAGGCTTGGTTCTGTTCACAAGTCCCAATGGTTATCTTCTTTTCTGCAGCTTTGCTTCTGCATCAGTATCTAATACCAGACTATCAAAACTATGGTTCTTTTGGTTGAAGTTTGTTATAGTATTTAATTAAAACTACCATTCTACAGGTTTTATGTCCACAGTCCAGTAATTTATTTTAAATTTGAGTAATTTCAAATTCCACAAACAAAACTGAAGAACAGCAGTATTTTGTTTGAATTCTTTCTTCTGTACACTCAGTGATCTAAAACACCACAATATCCAACATACACAAACCTTGGGAAAGGGTTAGTAAATACACACAGATTGGAATCATGGTGCTCTCTGCTTCTGAATGGAATGATCCCACAGAAAAAGCACAGGATACAGCACAACATAAGGGCACCTGTTACACATGAAGTGAGCAAAACACACTAGCATTTTCTATATGCGTAATGGGGAAAACCTGCATAGGTTAGAGGGCCTTTTATGCTCATTTAAAAATCAGGCAAGTTGTTGGTATGCACTTTTCAAATAATTTGGAGAGCATGGCAATCCAATGTAGGATATACTGATTAGTGTTGTCTTTGTTGGCATTGACAGTCTTGGGTGGTCATATACCATAGTTCTGCTTTTCTTTGAATAAAAGAGACTTAAATGCATTTAGACAATACATATTGTAAGCTGTTTACATACACTAAATTTAAGAGATTCAGTATTAGAGTTTCTTTTTTCTTTAAACACTACAGAGTGCAAATCAGGTTCTTCACAAGAGATTGAATATTTAAGCAGTTCTTCAAAGAATGAGGGGAGGAAAGACAAAGCCCAAGTGAATAAAAACATTGAAACTATTCCCCTTTGAAAATAAATTCTAAGATGATGCGGAATGTGAAATAAGGTTTTAACATAGGTGATCCAAGTTTAGAAACAAAAAGTAGTCCTTCATGAAATAAAGGTTACAAGAACATGTTGTCATTTTTCCTGTTATAAACTGAGAAGCGGTAGAGACGGTGTTTCAGTACGAAAATAGGCAACTACAGGATCAGCTTTCCATCTTACATGCTGTACCCAAAGCCGGGCTGCGGCTGCCCATAGGGTGGTGCAGTATAACCATAACCAAAAGGTGCCTGGGGAGGGACTGCAACACTGGGTCCTGCTGTCAGCATCAACTGTGGCTGACCTAAAGAAAACAAGAGGGGTGGGGAGGCAAGAGAAACAGTTACTATTGTAATACCACAACACACCAGTCACCTTTATGCTAGGAACATGATCACACTTTTGAATGAAATGCATAAGGCCATTTCTGCCTGTCATAGTCGCTGAGCTGACAGTCTCACCTAGGATATGTTTGTCCTCAAAGCTAACAAACAGTGCAGGGTTGAGGGTCAGGACTATGAGTTACTCCATGTCACTAGAAGTAATGGATGCTTGAGATAATCAGGCAAGAGCTCTGCCAACAAGCCTATACCACATGGTATCTGCATGCTGAATGTAGGATCAATTTTATTTGACAATAAAATGAACACAAGGAAAACAATTATTTAAAAAAACAACCTCCCCCCCCCAAAAAAAACCAAAAAAACCCCCCGACAAACTCAATGATTGCCTCCACTAGACCATTTATTACAACACTATTCCTATTATAATCAAGTTGGACATTTAAAATTGGGGGGGAGGGGAGAAAGCAATACTTTCAGAATTTGCATGTCATTGTTGCACAAAGGCCATGCTAATCTCTGTCAGTCCAACTCTAGTATATGTGCTGTGAAGCAAGCACATGTTTGTTTCAACCACTATTGAAATTTTAAAATTAGATCTAAATTTGTTTGTTTGTTTTTTTTTAAAGCTCTCAATTGCCTTATTTGGAAATTTACAACAAATACACACTTATGTAAAATATAGATAGAAAAGTCAAAGAATATAGAAGTTCAATTCACATTTACTAAGAATATTTATCAAAATATAATTAAAAATCATCAAGGAAATTTCAACAGTTAATTTGATTTTTTTAAAAGAATGTTCATCATTGATTAAAAATTAGGAATCATCATTTTAATAACTTGTTATTCTTTGAGAATTGAGATCTAATAAATTGCAGATTTGAACTCATGACACACACTCCACTATATTTGACTTTCCACTTTCAGATTGGTATTAAATATTAAATTTATGTTTTAAACCTATTTAAATGGTAATGAAATCTAAAGTATTTCAATAGACACTCAAGTATACATAGCTGTCGTTTGCTGTTGAGTTAGAATGACTCATAGTTGACCATCAAGCAGTCTTCAGAAGCAGTAAATCACACAGGAGGAAAGTCCACATGCTTTTCTTGTAAAGCAGCTGATGGATTCGAACTACAGGCCTCTAGCACTGCAGCACAGCTTTTTAACACTAGGCTACCAGAGCTCCCCCAAGTATACATTAGGCATGATATGTTTTACAGCACAGACTTTCTGGCTGACATTCTTTTTGTAGTTGTTGACTATACACAGTAAACATAGTCTTTAGACAACGTGGCTCATTTGGAGGGAGAAAGTACACATAGCACATCTCTGCTCCTGTAAAATAAGTACTTATTAACCTACTATAAGGACATAAATATAGAGGAAGGTTTCTCTCAGCCTGGGTAACCTCTTGTCCTTTTTGTGTATGACAACCACAGTAGTTGTCTTTAGTGAAAAATTCTCATTTGGAAACTAAAACACTTCTAATTCCAAAATTTCAAATACATTTTTAACTGCCTACAAGGTCTATTTAAACATTCAAAAGTCAAGTCAAACTAACAAGTTCCTTCCAAAATAATGCACTCACCCTGTTTTTGTTCCTATCTCAAATATGACTTAGGAGTCACTAACACAAAAGCAACTTCAAACACCTTGTTCCCCTCTCTAAACATCTACATTACTTTTACTGTTGTCAAAACTACCCTCTCCTCTTAAATACTCAAATACTTTTTTTTCTTTAACAAGGAAATTATGCCATTAAAAAACGTATCCTGAGATCAGGCCATTATAAAGTGTGCATTATCATTATAAGCTTGAGATGTAATAATTGTATCATTAAGATGCTTCCTCCTAGGAACATTTGGTTAGTGTTTTGAATTATATGTTCATATTCACTGTTCAGATTTCATACCTGGTGAACAGATTCGTTTGGAGGTCATTTAGGTGCAAGAAGAAATTAAAGTGCCTTGAAATGAAGATCCTATCTCTTTGGAAGTTCTCACAAGGAAACTACCCAATCCTCTGTCCTAGACAGACTTTATGTAAAGTATGTTAAAAAGGCACCCATAGTATTTTTGTTCCCTTTCATTCTTCTGAATATGGAATGACTTTTTTTCCTCCTCATTAATATGATTAAGTGATCAAGATTATGGAGATTTAGGATATAATCAAATTATTTTTTAAATTTTTTCATCTTTAAGAATGCCTGAGTGAATACTATCAATGCCTGTTTGAGATAGTTTCCAGACCAAAAAAAAACCCATCGATTATAGGTAAAACCATTCCTTAATTCAGCATTCTAACATGATATTTGTCTATTTGTAGGCAAAGTCCCTAAAGAATCAGAACTGCCTACTACATTTCTTTTAGGTTAAAAAAAGAGAGTACCATAAACAATAGGTTGTGTCTCTGTAGCTTGTTCCTCTTCTTTTCTCAGTGATTCCGAAGCATCTAATTTATCCACCTGCAGAAAAACAGTTAATGTTAATTAACACTCCCAAATTATCATAAACCTAGGCCTATGGCAGATAGTGGAAAAGCCTTAGTATGTTAAATTCTGTCAAAAATAAAACAGACTAAACAGAACATTCTCAGGCCCCCTCAAATTCAATGGCAATGGTCATAATTCAGTTTTCAGCACTGTCATTATAAACCCTCAAGAAGGAGGGATTTATAAATGCCAAAGCAGCTCAGGCCAGGCTAAAACTGGGCATGCTAGGATGCAGCCTGAAGGAAGGAGAAAACTAGAAGGAACCACTTTATCCAATGACGTTTTAAATCCTATCAAAGGCAGTAATAATGAGCTCGTGAACAGGCACGACTTCTTCCCCCAAAAGAAAGAGTATTTAAAAAGTGACCTAAGTCCAGTTACTGAATAAGTACTTGTATAGAATAAGCTCTAGTTTGCCAATTGCTCATAGCTTCTGCTGACCCTGAATGTAGGTCTGAAATGAAATGTTAAGACTAAAGTAGCTCTAGTTTCAATATGAAAAAGTTGTTTATAAAGACAGGCTGCACATTTTAATGCTAAATGGTTCTACCTTAAAAAGCAACCAAGAAAATTTGATTTTGCCCCAGCTTCTTTGAGGAAGAAATGTTTGCTTTTAATTAAGCCAAAAGAGTAAATAGCTATTACATGCTACCTACTCGAAATCAAAGGGGATACAATAAACAAAAACCACACTTAAAGTCCAGGTGTATCGTGAAAGTAAGGAATTGGAACAGGTGGGTCCTTTCATTGACTGGTTGTGTGAGCTCAGACAAAACCCTGCAGGGACCCTCAAATTTCTTTCTCTGTAGATGAGAAAGTTATGTGGTTTTCAAAATCATGGTGTGTTGGCTTAGGTGGGGAAGAACATTTTGTGTGATTACCAAAGTTTTAACAAATAAAAATCAACTAATAAAAAAAGCATTCAAAGAATAAACATGTATATGTATACAAAAAAAAAAAGCTGTGAAAACCAGATCCTAAAAATAAATAGTCCCTTTGAGTATTCATAAGTCATTTAAGTTAGGATAGTATTTTATACACATTTTAAATCTTTAATGTCAAGCACAATGAATGTACATTTTTAATCCATCCTAATTTACCAGGGAACTGAAAAAATGTAAACCACACAGACTCTAGATACCTTCAGATAAAATGTGGGTTTTGTTTGTTTTCAAATACAGGAAGGTGGGTCTACCTTTGCACATTATTTTTCTATTCTGTAGCCTAAATGTTCATGTGCCTTTAATTACCCTAAAATACAAACTGAAGACTACTCTGTAGTAGAAGTATCATAATAAATATCCACATTGTGGAACCCAAATGTATAAAAAAAAGGTAATTAAAAGCTATAAAATTTAAAGTGTAGGTCTGTGCTATTAGGGTTCACTGAGGTCTTGCTACACTAACCAGATTCCAAAAGTTAGCGAAAAAATTTATCCGTAAAATACACAGATGCTGGTACAGAAGTAATACCTTAAAAAAAGAAAAACAACCCACCACTGTACATTTCTAGACTCTGACGAAAAAGGATGAACACATGCTTAAAAGCCAATGTCTGAGTTCAGTAATAACTAAACAAGTCCTGTTACAGAAATACATGGAAGCCTTACAAGAACTGGCAGTGTCAGAATGCCCAAGCGCAATCACAGGCTCACTGGGCATGAAAGAAACAAACCAGATACCCTGAAGGGGTAGCATCAAGCTTAGCAAAGAAATTTACATTTTTCTGTGTAATGGTACAGCCTCTGGCACAGCAACATCCAATTTTATTTTTATTGATACAATTTAGATTGCTCCAAAAAGAAAGCAGAGAAGGCTGTTATGAACACAAGCTTTTGTTAAGAGCTGTAACAAAAGTTTCTGATCCTTGGAGTTAAAAAAAAAAGGATAGGAAGCATGTTACTGAGGTCAGCTGCATCTGTACAATTTGGAAATTCATTAAAATGTAAAAGGCTTTTCCACAAAGACTGCAATATGCTGCAGAGGAAAAGTTAACATGCAGTCAATTACTTTGGTGTATGTGTGCATGAAAAAAAGGCAAAAGTACTGAAGCAAGAAGTGAGATCTGAAGATGACTGTTGCTATACAGGCTCTCAAGAAACACACACAGCTCACAGCAATGCTTTAAGAGTTTCAAAAGTATATGATGTAATTGCAATGACTGTTGTACATGCTTTATTTAAAACAATGCATAACACTGCAGTTCAATTACCTGTTTTTCACACACACGCTTTCTAACTGCCTTGCTTACTAGCTGCTGAAGGGCCTCACACACAATGTATTTTACTCAGGTTTGCCTTAAGTTCCAGTGGTGGCTTCAATTTGGCTCAGTATAATCCCAAGGCATTGTCCTTCCCACCCTAATTCTTTTTAAATTTATTTCAACCTTCCTTTGTTTTCTCACCCCTCTTTAAACATAATTTGGTCTCAGACATAGGTTTATAATATCCTTTCATTTATAATGGGATGGAAATAAGCCAATGAAGGAAGTAGCAATCAAAAGGTGCCTAAATTTGATCTTCTTGGACAAGCCAACTGATCTTTTAAGAGGGCAAATTGTAGATCGCTTCTGAAAGGCACCTTTATTACAGGAAACAGAAGTTACTATTGCAACTTTCTACAGAGAAATATCCCATGATGCTTGGCAACAGTAATAGCAAGCTTGGCTCTCACGATTCAAAAGGTCCGATTCTCGTGAAAATGCACTAGCACCATAAGAACTGGACACCTGGAGAAACATGAGGAAAGTCTCTTCGGAAGCAGCTAGTATCTCTTGTTTGTATCTACTTACAGCAAAAAATTAGTAAGAATCAAGAGATCAGAAACTGGATCACAGTCCTTCAATACGAAAAACAAAAAAATAAAAACCAAAGCCCAAAAAACTGTTTAGGGCATGGGTATACATATTCAATAACTGTCAGGCAAGCTCACAAAATAACACCAGAGGCTGTTTTGTTTCAAATATTAAGAAAATCCTATTACAGTCCAGATACCCTGACAGGGAAGAGAAATTTCCTGAAACTTTGGAATTAATATGAAAACTCACCATACTCAGTTTTAAATCATATATTTAAGATAGACTGTGAACCAACTACTGATTAGCCTCCTGCCCTTCCTAAAGCCTATTAGCCGATTAGTAGCAAACGTCTACTAACGTCCTAGAGCTCTATTATAGTTATGTTTCAAGGGACTTGCAGAGGCTTTAGTGAAATTTTATTGAGGGGAAAAAGCAGCAGCAGCAGTGTAGAAAAGGAAGGAAAAAAAATCATGCAAATTCCTTAGACTTAGTTCTCCAGACTTAAAGATGGAAAAGAATCAACTTTCACCTTTTCCTTTATTGCATCAACCTGCAAAGGAATTCAGAAGGTGCAGCTTAGAAAAAAAATCAAATTCCATATTGAGCATAAAAAGGTAGAATCAGCAACAAAGGTTTAGGGGAGAAACAACTAATCACTAAAAAAGGTAATGAAAGAAGTGAAAATAAAAGGCATTCTGGAAGCAAAATTTAGATTTTTTTTTAAAAAAATAGCCAACAAACTTCAGAGCTTATTATAGAGAACTTATGCTCTAGTCAGTGTGAAAGAAAGCAGTTTAATCTCTAGTAAAATATACAGCACTTTGGTTAACAGCAGCTTAGAGCCAGGTCTTACAAATTGGCATTATGCATAAGAAATGAAGTTATTTTTATCAAAGGCTAAGACAGAACAATTTTTTTTAAAAAAACAGAACTTTAAGTAGTTTTAAAAATTACCAAGTATACTGGTAAATATTTACGCAATATCCTGAAAAAATATTCAGGATACTGGTGATTGTTAGTAGTGCATTATCCACCCCCACCCAGACCCCTTTATTCAAGTGTGCTGAGGAGATCAGATGCCAGTTTCTAACTAAGTATATAGTGGTTGCTGTTGTTGTTAAGTACCATCGAGTCGTAGGCAACTCATAGCAACCCTATGAACGACATTAAGAAAATAGCTTCTTTAGGATAATTTTTAAGGGCTTTGCATCACAAAGCCTGATGGCTGTTGAATAATAAAATGCTTTATCCAAAATGGACAGTTAAATAAGCAGGGAATCTTATACCTTTTTAAAATGATTTTTTAATTAATATTTTAAATTAGGGGCCAACTTATCAAAAATTATGAAGAGAAACAATATAATAAGAGATGCCAATTCCCAGGTAAATAAACAGATAATAAAACACAAAATCAAGCAAATAAAGAGAATACAATATCTGTGCTATTTGTTTTAGACATCTGAGTTTCAAGATCTGACATTGAGAAGATGCTGCTTTCTTAAATACTTTTAAACTATACAGGAAACAAATACTTTAATAAACTAAATCACTAACTTCTATTAGAGGGAAAAACAGGTTGGGGGAGAAGACTGCATATGTAATTATATGTATGCTCAGGATAATCCCACAACATGTACTTAATAGTTGTAATGTTACCTTTGTCAAATATTCTTTCATGACCTGGATGAAATAGGGCATGGCAAAATCCATGATATTGTGCCTCCATGCAGTTTCCAGGACAACATCTGGTCTTAAGAGATCATAACAGGTAAAAAGACAAGCTCCAAAGCACTCTCTTTTCTCTTCTTGTAAAAACCACTGTAAGAGTTCTTCAGCCAACTCAGTGTCCTTAGACTCGGATGCATACTGCATTGCATCCTATTCAAAGAAAACAACGAAAGCCAAGCATTAAATTTACAAAAACAGTAGGCCAAGTTAAAAAAATCACTTCTCAGTTATAGCACTTAGCTAAGATATTGAAAAGATGTGCTAAGACTACTTTTTTCTTTTTTAAACAAAGAGAGCTATGACATGAATGTAAGATGGATCCTGAAATCAAGTACAAGCCTTGTGGTAAGAAGCTGCCCTGAAATCCCAAAGGCATGTGGTTCAAATCCACCAACTGCTCTGTGGAACAAAGGTAGCAATCTACTCCCCTGCAATTAACTACTTCTGAAAATCTGCTGGAAAGACAGCTATGGGTCGGTTCTGAGTCATTGGCATACAAGGACTTTAAAATCAATTCTCAGATCCTTACTAATAATGTAAGATACCACTGACACAGACATAATAATTGGTTAAACACACCGCACCCTCCCAACTTTGTTACCTTGTAGAGACTGTCTTTCTTGCACAACTCTACACTCTGTTTCCAGCGATTGTTGCCTTTGAAGAGATAGGCAGCAATTCTTCTGAACTCAATGAGTTCATGCTTTTCTAAACGCTGAGCAAGTGAGATATTGTCAAAGTTGTCATAAGCATCTATTGATGTTCGCAGAGCCTTAAAGAAATAAAACAAAGCCAAAGAGTCAAATCAGTTTTTCATTTTCAACATTATAACGAGATTATCTCAGAACCTATTAAAAAGCAATACACCCGCTTAAGTTTAAGCATGAAAACTACTTTTAAACAGTATCAAGATTCTTCAATTTCATTTTCTAATAATAATATTGATATGAGTGCAATGACACTTCCCAAAGGTGCAATTTTCTCCAAGGTTGTCAATATCACTAAGTTGAACAGCTATGAAATTGGAAATTCGGAATCTGAAGAGTAAATTAATGCTCCAGGGAATGTCTTGCTGCAACTCAAAATGATACTCAGTCATTCAGATCAACAAGTAGCCTTGACATCAAAAGAAAATCATGCTCTTACAAGAGCACTAAAATAAGCACCAATTTAACCTTATTCTAATTTCTGGTTTCATGAAATCTATGACAAGGAAATTTTATTAAAAGCAGATACTAGTAAGATATTACGCAAAGAATAGTGACTAGTTAATATGATTAATAAGAGGTATGTATTTATGGGCTATTTAGGCTCTTTAAACAAGAAAAAAATTTTGTGAGCCCTATTTTACAAACTAGATGTTTAGAAACAAAGTAACCACAGTATTTATTCTAAAAGAATATTAAGCAAAATTCTACATACATTGGCATTTAACAATAAGCAGATTTAGCAAATCTGGAAAAAAGTCACCAAATTTAAATCCTAGAAATAGTACTGACCAATCACCATCTACAATCCTAAAGGATGACAGGCTTGCGTCTTTCTTCCCCCAACCCTAAGCTGTAAAATCACATGGAATTTTGGGAATACATCTAAGAACCAAAAGGTATTACCTGGTAATCCTCTTCTGTGATAAAGAGGTTGTTCAAGGATTCATTCACAGATTTGTTGTTATGATTCTGGACTGAACGCAGATATGGTTTCACCAAAGGTAGCTGTTTTACCTTTATGATAAAAGAGTTTGTTACAAATGCAGCACATCACCAATGATGTATGGACAAAAGTTACCTAGCTTTGGTTTATAACTTCTGTTGTTGGCTCCCCACTCACAGAAACAATATTCAGTCATGCACCCATTTCCCTGATTGGTTTCAGATCAGTGCTGGGCTATTCAGTGTTGGGATACCGTCTAGTTTTTGGAATGCAGAAGCTCTCCTGAAACTTGTACATTTTAACAAATGTCCACTGACAGACAGGTGGTAGGAATGACATCCACTGGTAGGAATGTAACTGGGTCCCCAGCACAGAAAGTAAAAATTCTACCATTAAACTGTTAATATCCCTATTAATATCCCCCCCTCCGTAATTATTACCTTGCTGAAATAATTGACTGCACGAGTATGATCCAACCGTGGAGACAGCACCATCAGCAAATCATTTAACAATAGAGGCTTGAACTCTAAGTAGAACTGTATTGCTCTGTAGTATAGTTCTACATTAGCAACCTGAAAGAAACAAAACCCCATACAAAAAGTCAGAAGTGTTTCCTATTGAACTCTCCTTCTGACATTCTAACCTTTTGAAGAAAACACACACCTTGGTAATAATATCTTTGAACTGCCCTTCTTTCCATGCATCAGTTGGATGGTTCATCATGGTAATTATGGCATTATCATATTCTTCATATTTGTCATACAAAAACACCAGTTCCGCCCAAAGATGAGCTTGTTCTGCAGCTCTTAGCACCTTCATTAGAAAGAAATGACTGCTTTAGATCCAAGTCTCTAATATTAGGTTCATGGCCCAAAATACCAAAAATCTAAAAACACATTTTTAGGATATTACATTTTAATTCCTCTGTTGCTTCACAATATTAAAGGCTGGTTACCTTTGGTATATTCACTCTGGACCAGAATAGTTCCAAATGCTCTCTCATTTTCTGTGGCTTAAATTTAGAATACAGAATAGCTAATTCGGTAAACATTCCCATGTGTGCACGCTCAAGTCCCAAAGCTGCTTCCAACATGGTTATCAGTTCTTCAAAATAGCCACGGTCCTAAATAAGAGAAACATGCAATTAAAGCTAAGAATATCTGTGGCAAAGGGTTTCAATTAATATTAAAAGTTCTTGCTAATTACCTGATAGTAGTTGATAAGTTCCTCCAATTCATCTGCATGTACTACGATATGAAGCCCGCACATCTGAGCCAGTCGGAACTCTTTCCCATCCACACAGGCAAAGCAGACCTAGAACAAACATTTCCATAATGTGAATGTAAATATAGCTACTTAATGAATCAATTTAAAGAATAATGCCAACTGAATCACCAATCTCCATTCAAAATTGTGTTTAGATTACCTCTTTCCATGTTCGAGTACTGTTAGCTTTCCTAGCTCCGTCAACAGCTGCCTGATATTCACCCAGGTGAACTAAGGTAGATGCCAGGCGTCCAAAGTTAGAAACATTATTATATAACAACTTAGCTGCATCATACATTTTTTCATCATAACAACGGTCACCAACCTGGAAAAGGGACAATTCATTTTCAGTATGATACTAACCCCAGGCTTAATCCTCTTTCACAACTCAACCTAATACTTGGATGTTCTCTTATTCCTGTAACACATTACGTTGTTCTTCTATTGTAATAAAATAATTCAACTATTAATTTTTAAACCGATTTTTAAAACATTTGAACTGGAAACTAACTTGTTGGATATGAGCATTGTTTGGCCCATTGATGAACTCCTCTAGCTCTGCAAGGCGGTTGGTTTTTGCTAGAGCGAATATCAATTCTGTTTCCACATAGGACTCACGAGCCTTCTTACGGGCCATCTGCAAGTACTTCACAAGCTCTTCCCAATTTCCTATGTGTGGAAAAGAAAAATAAACTTAGCACTAACATCCAAGTAAATGAGACTTGAGACAACTTCCTTTTCAAGGAAACATAGAACAAATCTGAAGTAATTAAAATTGTAAAATTCTATGATTATCAATGACTGAAACTTTAATGAGGGAAGCCAACTATCATATTTAATAATAGTAGACCAAATGCTGTTTCAGGAAATGAGGGAAGCTTGATACAAACTGAAGGCCACCTTGTGGCAATGGGGCGTTCCCTAGGAGTTAACATTGTTCTTGTTTATGTCAAATGAACTCCTCCCTCTTGAGATTAGCATAAAGAGGAACTTGGCCTTATCTGTAAAAGACTTCACCATTATCCTTTGTTTTTGCTTTGTACTTCCTTGTGATTTTACTTTGCTTACCTTCCTTATGATTCCAAATAAATACTCAGAGAAACATGGCTTGGGGCCTTTAGTCATGGGAACTGTTGGCCCCCTGTTTTTCACACTCTCTGTTCTATATCATTCCTGGTAGTCTGTCTCATTATTAATAATTATAAAATTATTTCATTCTTTGGGACCCTCGGTCTGCAACACTTTAATTTCATTTCTCCTTAAAGTAGATTAGAATTCTTTCAGAATTTCATGAGAGTTCAAAGCACATGGACTTTTTAAGTTCAGACTAAGACGGAGAGGACTAAAAATTTAAAGCTAACTCTTTGGTTTAAATCATAGTACACATTTTTCACTATTTCAAACAGAAATATTTCAAACAGAAGACATACCACTAGTATTGGCAGCCTGAACAACTTCCATGTAGGATGAAGGATCATCTGCTTTTATGTAAGAATCAATAGCTTCTTTGACCATTCCTTTCTGCAACTGGGCTTTTGCAAGCTGACTCCAGACTGCTGGTTCATTGCAGCGTTCTGCAAACTCATATGCTCGATCCAAGTTTCCAATATGTTCAATCAAGACCTAGGCAATCCATTTTAAAATAAGGCTTACATTAAAATAAATTTTCACCCATTATTGCAACTACACATAAACTTTTTGCATTTTATTGCTTTTCTATTGCCATAACAATAAATGATGTTTACCTCCAAGGGTTGATGCATATAATGAATCAGAATTCATGCATATAGTGAATCAAAAGTTAGTACTGTAATTTGATGATATACCTGCACAGCCGAAGTATTGACATCAAACTTCCGGAAAATAGCAAATGCTTCTTCAAATAGTTCGTTGCTGATGGCAATATTGGCAATATCTGGAGCATCATAATTATCCAGGCGGTTAATATACTCCATAACACGTGTACGGTCAGCTTTAATTGCAGTGAGGATGAGAAGGTTTTGCAAATTCCTTTAAGGGGGGAAAACATCTCTGAGATTAAAAATGGTATTAGGGTAAGAAGACAGGAACTTTCTCCTTGTTCCTTCTCAATACTGACAGACCATAATGAAAGACTGAGTCCCCGGGATCTCCCTCCAAGCTTACCTGTGCTCACTGAATACAGAGTTATCAAGGACAATTTTCTCCAGCAGTTCAATGAGCTCATTTGGAAGGTCTGCAGTCATAAAAGCCTTGACAGTTACTGACACTTCTTCAGGATCCTGAGTCTCAGACAAGGCTGTTTGCACAACCTACATAGGATACATAAGGAATATAGAACTGATGCTCAGAGTAGGTTTTAAGATACTATCTATGAAAGTTGGGTCTCCATTAGGAACTTCAAATGGGTAGGAAAAAAATGAGGGGCTTATTAAACTTACAACTCAGAAGTTCTTCTATGCATATATATATATGCACCTACATGTGAACTTTGTTCAAAAAAACCCCACATTAATAACACTTATCTTTCTTTGGTTACAAAAACATTACCCCTATTAACCACTCCTCATTGTTACGCTACTGGCTGTGTGTGTGTGTGTGTGTGTGTGTGTGTGTGTGTATAAATTCAACTATTTAGATCCTGTTGTTCTTTATTACCATCTGACTCATAGCAGGTTTTTAGAGGCATTAAATCAAACAGGAGGAAACTGCTCATCTTTCTATTGCAGAACAGCTGGTGGATTCGAACTGTGTGTGCCTTTGTGTTGGCAACACAATTCCTTACTCGTTAGCCACCAGAATTCCCTATGTCAGCTTATGCTCAATAATTTATTTTTAGCTATTCACATAGTACCTAAATGATGCAATTAATATTTTTTCCAGAAAGTTTTCATTTACTCAGAAATTTTGTTTATAAACATTTTCTAGGAGAGGAATGAAATATTATCCAACTCAATCTACTCATTCAAAGAAGTTATATTTATACTTCTAGGAGGAGAATTGAAAGCCAAATTTTTCTGGTTTCAAAAATATTTTCAATTTTATGTAAGTACAAAACACATTTTGTTGAGTTATGTATGTGCTCATTCGTGAGAATTAACCCACTTAACTCTTACATTTTCTCTTATCAATTCTGATCCTTAATTATACACTGTCTTGAATGTTCCCATTCAATTTAATCCCTGGTCAGGTATTAATAAGAATTCTTTTACTTTTATAAATGTTTTATCTTAAGTTTTCCTTTTAATGACTATTAATTGAGTTTTACATAATCAAATAATATCTTTTTACACATTTCTGGTATAATTTTTATTTTCTTTTTTTTTGTGTGTCTTTCATCACTTAATTATCAATCACTTGGCACACTTGTGTATCTGATGAAAGAAAACATTCATTCTTAAAACCTTTCACTTAATGAATGAAAAAGATGAGCCTTAAACATGCTCACCAATTTTACCTGGTCAATTAAAGGTCTCCTGTACGGATTGCTTTCCAGCAGCACGCTACCCCATAATTCGGGATCCTTTCGACGTACTAGGTAGCGAGAAAGACTTTTGAAGAGAGAATTCTCATTGCAAACCTGTATGAGATGTTAAGCATTAGATTCAAGTCAAAGAGTAAAGACTTACAAACTGATTTTACTGACATGTTTATTTTTTATCACTTGAACCCTGGTTACTGCTTCATAGTAAAATAACATCAGCTAGGAAAAAAGAAAACACTCTGAAATTAGATATATTTCTATTTTAGTCTACAAATTTATACAAATTCTAAATCTGTCTAGAAATGCACCAGAACCACAGCTTTATTTAGTTACATAATTTTAATTGCAAAGTCTTTGTGATATGCTTTAATATCTAACAGGGCTAGTTTCTCTTAGTGCTCGCCACAGAGTTGTACTACCTAGCTACACTTGTGTTTCCTTGTCAAGGCATTTATTGCGCACACATGCACACACATTTTGTATCTACACCAATTCATGCATTCATGAATAGAGTTCATAGTAATTTCTAGAAGCAACACACACAGAGCCCCCGTCTTAATTTCTAATGCTATTTCCCATGCAGAAAACTGAGCTTTTGAATCTTTGGAAAATTGGTTTATTTCAAATTTTTTGGAAAGGTACAAAAAAGATAGAGTGTATCTTCTTGTGCCAAGACAAGTGGTCAAAACAATGGTGAAAACCTGTCCCAAGAACAAGAGAGTCACACTGAAGTATAATTTGAGAAATATAAGTTAACGATTTATACCCAACAAATAAAACAAAAATCCATGAGTGCTGATATCATGGATAAAGTGTGGGAGCTGAAAAGTTCTAACTTTACAAACTAGATAGTAAAAATGGTTTAGGTAAGAAATTAGTAAAATGTTCAACTAGGGGGCTTGGGGGAACAAAAGGATATTTAGTGTGCACGATCCTACGTGCCCCTTCACAAACTATTTACAACTGTCAATGCATTAAAAATCAACACTACAAATAAGGGATGTCATTATTCTTAGGAAACACAGACCAAAGGCATAAAGGCCATGAAATTATTAATTTACATATGACTAGAGTCATTATATTAATAAAACAAAAATGAAAAGTTTATAGTTAAAACAAATGTAACTGGTGATTTAGGGTTAAAAAGTAGACTTCATCTACAATTCTGATAAGTTTCATGTTTACAATTATTTGCAAGCTTTATAAAAGTACTTTATCTTCCAAAACTTTCCAAATTACCCATGTCTACTCCTAAACTCTGAAACTTTATTAGGCTAATATTTTTTTTAAAAAAAGAGAGAATAATTTTTCCACATGTGCAACTAGCAATACTCACATTAATAAGTTCCAGATCACACTGTCCGCGTTCATAAGCAACACATGCCAGGTGTGGATCTCTCTTCTCACAATACTTTCCAACAACACGACTGTCATAATAGGGATTTTCACGAAGAAACCTCTCTGGGTTGTTATTGCTGTCTATGTAGATTTTGGCGAGTGCGTTGTGAGTAGCAGGTTCCTCACAGCCTTCATGAATTCTGGCCTCTAACCAAGGCAGAAGGAGCTTCAATCTAGTAAAACAAAAACAAAATCCACATTTACTATGGTTCAAAAATACCTAAGATACCTATTTTCACACATACATTCTTAACCCTCAACAATCTAATTACAAATTGAGCAATTAAGGCTTGGAGATGGTTAAGTGACTTGCCCAAGATTACATACAGAAGTATTTAAGACTGGCTTTTCACTCTTTAAGACCTATCTACTACACTATCTAGACAGAAATGTGCATATGAGATTTTCCTTTCTTTGCACAAATTTTGTTTATAGTAGGATTAAGTTAAGTACTAGAAAGAGGTCTTGCAATTTTAATAGAATTAGCATTCAACATTATGCTAAATACACACTCTAGATTAACAGTTCCAACAGTCCTGTTATCACGCCAAAGCCTCCCTACCCTATACCCTGTGTTTCAATGATCTCAATAATCATTCTTCTTTAATGTAATATTTAAATATTAAAAAACAGCTAGAGGAAAAGTAACATTGATTTTGACAATGATATTCAAGTAGTATTTTGAATCCATTCCCATTATACTGAACATAAAAATAAAGAAAATTCAAGCTGCTATAAACATGTATAACCAATGTCAACTGAAATATACTTCAAATTAAGCTCAAACTCTTAAATGATTATTACAAATCAGGTGAATTTCACCTTTAATTCCATAGGCTTTTCTTGCCATTTCTCATAGAGCTACAGTAATTCCCACTACTAAATCTATCCTGTGGAGTCGGTGGTGGATTAAAACTCCAGAAATGCTACCTTTGAGTTCACAGTGTAACTTTCTATGGCACTTCCACCACAGAACTCTTTATACATCAAGTCCTCAAAATGTTATCATTTTTTAAAAAAAAAAAACCAAAACCCATCCAAGGCCTATCATTAGAAGCATTTATTCTTTTCCACTGGAAATTTTAATTCAATAGTATTTTAGGGAAATAAAAGTTAAAAATGGGTTTACTCCAGTATTGCTTAAGAACCTGTCAAACTTGAGCAAAAATATCAGTGATGAATAGACAGTTATGCACATAATTTTAAGTGGGCTTACATCATACTTAAAAACACAGTCAGATCACATTTGGTATAATTATAGAACCTGTAAGATGCCCTTTCCAAGGAACAGCATCTCCTAGCAACATGCCCAAAGCAAGTGAGACATAGCGTTGCTTCCAAGGAGCACTCTGGCTGCACTTTTCCAAGCCATATCCATTTGTCATTTTGGCAGTCCATGAAATATTCAGTGCTCTTTTCCAACACCACAACTCAAAAGCATCAATTCTTCTGTCATCTTTTTTCACTGACATAGCAAGTGAATGAAAATACCATGGCCTGAATCAGATGCTTTTAAGTCTTCAAACTAACATCACTGCTCTTCATTATTTTGGAAAGGTCCCCAACAGTTGACCTGCCCAATGTAATATGCATCTCCTGATCTCTTAACTGCTAGTACCAAGGGTGTTGAGTGTGGACCCAAGCAAGATGAAATCATTTGACAACTTCAATCCCTACTCCATCTATCAATGATGTTCTCTATCAGTCCAGTGGTGAGAATCTTTGTTTTCTTAATGTTGACATGTGATTCATACCAAAGGCTGCTTTTGTAGCAATCTGGCCAAGCCTCTCCAAATCAGGTGTCTTCAGTGATTCATAGTCCCTGCATTATTAGTAAGTAGCGTTTAGCCAATTATCTAGTTATATTTTTAACCAGTTTCACACAAAAAATAGTAGTACTTATTCCAGTTAAGATTAAAATGGTACTTTACCTGTTTCTTTTTTCAACCTCAGCAACAAGTTCATCAGTAGAAAATTGACCTCTTACAACAAGAATTAAGTTTTTAATGACATCTTCAGAGCAATCAACATCAAGTAATCCTCCAATAACGACAGGAAGTCGACTTGGATTTACCTACAGGAAAAAAAAGATTGCCTTTATGGTGCAAAATAACCATCAATAATACCCAGCTGGTAATGAGTTGATTTCAACTCATGGTGGCCATGTGTACTAGAGTAGACCTGTGCTCCATAGGATTAACAGCAGTTATCATCTTTTCAAAGTAAATCACCAGGACTTTGTTCTGAGGTGGCTCTGGAAGGATGTGAACTGCCAACCATTTTGTCACTAGCTGGGCACTTACCCGTTTGCATTAAGTGAAATTTAAAAACAAACCTAAAAACCTCATTTCCCCTTTGTAAGCACACTTCTTAATCCAATAATTAGCTGACAGTTTAGATTTGCAACTAAGAATAACAATTAGTCAAGAAGTCTTGTTTGGTTAATTGTTTACCAAACTACTGGCCTTCAAGCTAAGTTCAAAGAAACAATTAGAACAGCTATGGGAAAATCTATTTAAAAAAACCACAAAAATGGGGGAGTGATGTAACTACCTTTCTATTTCTACAGTTAGTGGGTCAAGCTTCTAAGAAGTTATTAAAAATGCCCGTGAAATTTTTTGGTGTATTACTTACCTTCTGTACATAAATCTCTATGTATTTTTGAAGATTATTTCTATATAAATACAGCACCAGATCATGGACGAAGTCAAATCGATCACACACAATAATAAGTGGTAACTGGTCTGTTAGCTTCGCTTCCTAAAAGAGAATAAACAAAATAACTATTCTTTTTCTGCTTGTGTTGACTTTCAAATCTACATAAAAGAGAAAAATGTGTTCTACACTGATGGATGAGGCCCACAAAAGTTTTGTCTGTTTTAAGAAAGAAATAGTAATAGAGTGTGCATGGCCCCAGTTTCAGTAAATTTTTACTAAGCAATATTTAGATTTACATAGTAAAATGCCAGGTTATTCTCATATACAACCTTTAACCAAAACATTTATAACTGTAGACAAATACAAACAAGTAAGATTTTCAAGACACCAGTGGCACTTGGTAAAAATCACCACCACACTGGGCCTTTCATTAATAGTACTTGAATTCAATTTGGAGTTAAAGTACTGTCACATTGTCATAGTATATGATATAAAAAGTTCACAATTATTTCAAACTAATGAATACCCATCCCTCCAAATTTCCATATGAGGGAAATTCCAGTTGAGATAATTATTTTTTTCTTTTTCTTTAAAAGGTGATCTGAGTAAAATTTTACAGAGTTAACTGGTTTTCTATTCATACTTTTATAAATGAAAGACTTTTTTCCCCCTCCCAATCCCATTCTACATAATCATAGCCTCTAATACTCTATTCTAATAAAGCCTACTTGGAGCAACATGACAGTGATAGGCATGAACAAAATAAACCACATGTTGCTGTAATTAGAAAAGGAGCAGGGGGGAAAGCAGCATTTAAAGAAGAGATCTTTAATTCACCCATTGCTTTTACCATTACAGATCCCAGTATATAATTGTACTTATAGAGTGACAGAGAAGACACTATAGACAGGTAGGTAAGACCTGTACTGGGCATTTACCTGATTCATGTCCTGTACAGTCCACAGACATAAGGTACAGCACAAAAAATAACAATTTCCATCAGGAATTCATTCATACACAAAGAAACATTTTTTAATAAATGATTCCTCTATTACAGTCTACTAAGAAAGTAGAACTTTTCCCATTACACCCACTAAAAACAATTATTAGCAAGATTGGATCAAGTGGTTTCTAAAACTGGACAAGCCAACCACATGACTATAAAAGTACAAAGTCTCAGGAAGCTCTGGTGGCCTAGTAGCAAGAAGCTGAACTTCAATCCCAGAGGCGTGCAGTTCTAATCCACCAGATGCTCTGCTGGAGAAGGAGGGAAAATCTCCTCCTGTAGTAGTCAGATCTGATTTGACAGTATACACACACACAAAATAATTTTTTTTTAAAAAAAACAACTACAGTCTATGAAATGTCCATAAAGAACATCAAGATACACCTGGGAACAATAAGAAACTAATTAAAAGCCAAAATGGTTATAAATCTGGAAGTCCAGATGCAGCTTTCTCAAAGTAGGAAAAGTCTAAAACAAGTATTGTTTAACATCATGGAATGCTACACTAATAGATCATACCACCATTTCTAAAATCTGTCATCTTAAATATGAATTCATTCTTTTCACAAATATTTGCTGACTACCTATTAGGCAATGGGTATGTAGAAGGGACAAAGGAAGCCGTTTCTTTCCTGAAAGAAGTGGCAATCTATACAGAATAACCCATAGCTCACAGTGATAAATGCTATGAAAAACAAATGAAGCAGCACCTGGGAGAGGTAAGAATGAGCTATGGATGGGTTCTAGTTAGACAGGGTAAGCTGAGAGGTCCTCCCTGATGACAGTTGGTCAAAAATCAGAATACAGAAAAGAAAACTGGTCAAGTATGAGAAAGGTGGTCTAGGGTGAAGCAGCAGCATGTACAAAGGTTCACAGGCCTCAAAGCAGAAAGCGGCTTAGGGGACTCCCAGGAATGATAAGCAGGCCAATGCAGATGAAGCAAAACCAGGAAGGAAATGGTAGAAAACAAGGTTAAAAGTAGTAAGCAGGAGATGAGGAGTCTAAAGAAGAGTTAGTTCCTTAACCTTAGGGCTTGACCAAATGATATTGACAGCATTTTATGCTCTTACAAGCTACTTTACAGAAGAAGTTATATTCCACTAATTTCTATTCCTGGTGGCACCATCTCAGTATTACCCAATCAGATTATTTAGACTAAACACAGGATTCACTTCTAATTCAGGATGGAATTAAAATTCCTTTGAGTAATCAGGGAACAATACAGCTTAAAATTAATTGGTGACCTCCTGAACATCTATGTACAAACATGATACAAAACAAAGAAAACAGGTTTAAACATTATTATTTAACTTTTCTGAGAAAAAAAAAAAAGAGCATGTCATTTGCAGTATGAACAAATAATGGCTAAGTGGCATCCATTTTTTAAATAATATGCCTCCGGAAAGTCTATGAACTTTGAGAAACAACAATAAGTTACAGAAAGGCTTCAGGTCTTTTGTTCATAAGGTCACTATGAGTCCTGTTCAACTTGACGGCAAACAACAACAATGAAAAGAAGAAAAAAAAATTTTATTTAGTCTGGCTAGTTCAAAAGCCTAAACTAAACATCCATTCTCCATTATTTTCAGGAGAGTGATGGGCATCTTCTGCCTTTGAAAAGCTGCTAGATGGCCAGCTATGAGTCATTTCCAACTTGACAGGACATAACAACTCCACTTTATTGAGCTTTTATCTCATCTGATTACAGTTTATAGGTTAACTCACCTAATGCAGCACCACTCTTTTATCTAAGGTAATAGGGATATTATAGCTAATGTCAGATGGATCTTGGCTGAAAGCAGAGAGTACCAGGGGAATGTCTATCTGTGTTTCATTGACTATGCAAAAGCATTTCACTTGTGTGGATCACAAGGAACTGTTACTGACTGAGAACAGGAATCCCAGAACACTTGATTGTGCTTATACGAAACCTATACTTGGAACAGGAGGCAGTCCTCTGAAAAAAGCAAATAAAACTGCATGGTTCAAAATTGGGAAGAATGTACATCAAGGATGTATCCTATCTCCGTATCTTTTCAATCTATGTACAGATCTGGGAGGCTGGGCTCTATGAGAAGTGTGGCATCAGGATTGCAGGTAGACTTATCAACAATGTGTGTTATGCAGATGACACAACCCTGCTTGCTGAAACTGAGGAGGGCCTGAAGCGCTTGCTGCAGAGGGTCAAGGACTGCAGCCTTCAATATGGATTGAAGCTCAACATCAAGAAAACAAAGATTCTCACCACTGGGCCAACTGGCTGCATCATGATAGATAGTAAAGAGACTGAGATTGTTGACAGCTTCAGTTTGCTTAGCAATCAACACAACTGGTATCAGCAGCCAGGAAATTACAGACAAATTGCACAGGGAAAAGTCTGCTGTTAGAAATCTTTCCAAAGTACTGAAGAGTAATGATGTCAGTCTGGAGACTCAAGTGAGCCTTAAACGGGCCATGGTCTTTGCAAGTACTTGCTATACACCAGAGAGCTGGACAATAATTAGGGATGGTGGTGGAGAGGAGTACTGAATATACCACGGATTGCTAGAAGAACAAACAAGTTCGTCCTGGAGAGGGTGAAGACAGGCTGCTCCTTGGAGGCAAGGATTCCGAAGCTTTGCCTGACATACTTTGGACATGTTGCAAGGCAAGGTCAGTTCTTGGAGAGGGACATCATGCTTGAGAGGGTGGAGGGACAGTGCAGGAGAGGAAGACCCTCGATGAGATAGACTGAGTCACTGGAGTAATGGGGATAGGTGTGTCAGATATAGTAAGATTGGCAAGAGATAGAGCAGCGTTTAGGGCCATTGTACACAGGGTCACTATGAGTTGCAGATGACTGAAGACATAACAACAGTAGTTTTGGTAGCTTCAAAACTTCAAAATCAAATTAAGATAATTTCATCTTGCTTTATACATGACGCTATGATACATACTTCAAAACCAATTCAACTCTATTCAGACCCATAAGCAAGAACATTTAATGAAAAGTTTAAGAGATTCAAAGCTAAAAAATAAATCCCTATTGAGGAACTAAAGCAGTGTCACTGGTACACTAGCCAATGGCAGAGTCATCACTCAGGTTTCTTTGACATCTGAAAGTCTGTGGTTCAGTAACTTTTTTTTTAATGCAATGCAACATTTTTTCACAGCATATTCTTCCTGTTTAATTTTTTTCTGATTCATCCATTCATTGTTGTACATTTTTCTCCCTGCTCAACCCTCTCCAATTGGCTTTTCTCTTTGAAAAGCAAAAAGAAAACTTTTTTCATTATTATACATACAATCCCCCAAAGTCCACTTTACTATGCATTTCTTTTTCTGGAGTCATGTCATGAAAATAATACCTAACCTTATATTCCTTTTAAACAATTCTCTTCCCTGATCTGTTTCAATGCAGTATATATTTATCCCCTTTTCTTAGGCTTCACCAACTCCAGTGTAAGTCCTGTTTTACAACAGTGGCACTAGGCAGTATTTACCTTTTGTGACTAAGATATTTCACTCAGCATAACGTCCCCCAGGGTCACCCATTTTGTGTACTATTTCATGAGTTCCTTGCTTTTCAATAAAGCATAGTATTCCATTGTGTGAATATACCACAGCTTCTCTATCCATTCATTTGTTGATGGGTACTTGGGTTGTTTCCAACTCTTTGCTATTGTAAACAAAGCCGCAGTAAACACGGGTGTGCATATATCTGCTTGGGTGGCAGTTATGGTTTCTTTAGGGTGTATTCCCAGTAGTGGAATTGCTGAGTCATATGCTATTACTATTTCCAACTTTTTGAGAAAGCACCATACAGCCTTCCATAGTGGTTGCACCATTTTACATTCCCACCAACAGTGAATAAGGGTTCCAGTTTCTCCAAAACCTCGTCAGCATTTGTTTGGTAACATTTTTTAAACTATTCATTATGACCAAGACATTTTAGATCTATATTTCTAATCTATAATATATAAAAACTTCAGCACTCTTGACTATTGTGTCACAACCAAAAAGCTATTTTTAAGTGCAATCGAGTCAAGTATTACTCACAGCAACCCTATAAACAAGAGATCTGAACCCTATCCTATCCTGAGCCATCCTCACAATCTGATACATTTAAGCCTACAGTGCAATCAGTGTGTTGTGTTGAGGGTCTGCCTCTTTCCCTGACCTTCCAGCTTTCCAAGGACAATGCCCCTCTTCAAGGAATAGCCTTTCCTAGCAACATGCCCAAAGTATGTGAAACGAAGCTTTATCATCTTTGCCTCCAAGGAGCACTATGGCTACACCTTCTCTAAGACATAATTGTTCTTTTGTGACAATTCATAGGATATTCAGTACTTTTCTCAATCACCACAGTTCAAAGACATCTATTCTTCTTCTGTCATCCTCATTTACTGTCCAGCTCTCACAAAACTCTCACAAACATATCTAGTGACAGTAAAAGGCCATGGTCTGAGTAAGTTGCAAATTAGCCTTCAAACTAACATCACTGCTCCTCAATAATTTCGGGAAGGTCCTGACTACAGAGTTTTCCAGTGTAATGTATTTCCTGATCTCTTGACTGCTGGTACCAAGTACACTGACTTTGGATCCAAGTAAGATGATGTCATTGACAGTTTCAATCTTTTCTCCATCTTTCATGATGTTGCCTATCAGTCCAATGGTGAAGATTTTTGGTTGGGTTCCCCCATCCCAACCCTGGTTTTACAAAAGTTTATCAAGAACCTGGATTTCCATTCATTCATTGTTGCACATTTTCCTCCCTACCGACCCCCTAGTTCCCTTTACTCTTTAAAAATCTTCCACTGTTGCACAATCCTGGCCCCCCAGTCCACTCTGCTATGCACCTTTTGTTTTAGACTGTTGATTTTTGTTTTCTTGACACTGAGATGCAATCTATATTAAAGGCTGCAGTGTTTAACCTTCTGAAGCAAGTGCTTCAAGTCCTCCTCATTTTCAGCAAGCAAGGTTGATCATTTGTATAAAAAAAGGCTAGTTCTTTAACCTGAAGACTAGTAAATTCTTCAAAGGAATAATATGTCAGTGTAATTATCCTCTTTTTTTAAAAAAAAATAATGACATTTTGGGGTAGGGTGCTGCTACTGATGTTAGGTGCAGACCAGTCAGTTCCAATTCAAAGAGGCTCCAAGTACAATGAAAGGAAAACACTGTCCAGTCTTGTGTAAACTTTATAATCATTACTATGTTTGAGTTCACTGTTGTAGTAATTGTGCCAACTCATCGTAACTGCAAGTCTTTCTCTACAAGAATGTCCTTCCTTTTAACCTGTCCAAGTTCATTTTAACAAGCCCAAACTGTATGAGGTAAAGTCTCACCATCTTCCCTTCTGAGGAATATTCTTACAAATTTATTCACTGTTCTGATTGTCCATGCATATTTAATATTCTTCACCAGTGTAATTCAAAGGCATCAGTCCTTCTTCCATTCTCCTTATTCACTGTCCAGTTTTCATACACATGTTAGGTAATTTAAAATGCGTAGTTTGGGTTAGGGCACCTTAGTCTTTAAAGGGACTTTTCCCCCCCTCTTGTGATTTTTAACTTAAGTTTACAGAAAGGTTAGATTTTCATTCACTCATGGCTGCACATAAAGGGACATGTTACAAACAAGTATGAGAAGTCTATTTTTCCTACTAACTATACACCAAAAATTTTTGTAGTTTCAATCTAAATTCTTCATGAAGAGAAAAACAAGAGGTCTATATACAGTCTCAGAAATAACTTCCTTCTATTAAAAAAACTGAGAAAAAAAGAAATAGAAAAGAGAAATGAATTATTTTTAAAATCTGTTCCATAGCTCTAATGGTCTTTATAGAAAGCTGCTAACATTCAAGTTTTTATTCAGAATCTAACTGGTAGTTGTGAGGATAAAGCTAACCTTAATTTAACAAAATCACCGGCCATTAGGTAAGTTTGAAAAAGCTAAGAATGGGTAAACTTGATCCTTTACTCCAATACTGGCAATCATCCCTTCTCTAAAATGTCCTTCATGTTTTAAAAAAAGTAAGTTTGGCTCAATCTTAATTTGTGCATTATACATGATTAGTATTTTAGTTCTCAAAACCAGCCTCATTTGATCATTAAAAGCTATTTATAACTTTTTCCTACAACCAAGGTTTCTTTACAAAATACTATGCACAATCTAAGCTTAATCTTCAAACACAGCCTAAATGAATTAGAAAAACCACACGGATGGTCTATACTGCTTTCTACATTTTTTTCCTCCCAAAGTTAAAATTAAATTCTTTAAAGATGGTTGGTGCCTTTTGGTTTTTTCCTTCTTTTAAACAGATGGTCTTTCTTAAGAATTTTTACCAGTTTCCTTCCCTATTTCAGAGGAAACCACAAAATACTAAGTTTAGAAGACATAATCCAGAACACAATCTCAGAATACTAAGAATTTTACATTTAAAGGGGGCGGGGGGAATCATAGTTTTAAATTATGAACCAACCTGCTGTTAAATAGGTCTTTCACCCATCCTGAAAATGCACTAGTGACACGCACTTACTTTGAGAAAATTCTTGACTCGTTCAGGATCGTAGCAGTTGCTTTCTCTACAGATTCTTTCTACTTCTTTGATCTGTCCAGTCTTACAAGCTGCCTGAATATATTTAAAGTGCACATCTGGGTCTTGACTAAAGTTAACAATGGATCCCAGGAAATAAAAGAGACCTTAAAGAACAAATAACTGAAATTTAGCATAGAGGCACCTTTGAGAATGACAGAACTGAAAAAGTGTCAAACTAAAAAACATCATTACACTCCGAGAATAAATATGAATTCTAAACTACTCAATATAGCTTAATAAACCTACAAACACTAATGAACACAGACTATTTTTAAAAAACTAATTTGTACTTTATTCTTAACTCAATGTTTTCCAAGAGTTTATAAAGAATTAGGGAGTTCCTCAATACTAAGGTTTATTATTAGATAAAATAACATATGAGAAATTGAAAATAAAGTCCCTTATAAGAGCTATTTCTTCTATGTAGTTAGTAGGTGGCAGATACAAAAACTTTGGAAAGAATTCAATGTCACTCTGTACAATAAAGCATGATGAAAATGTTCTATATCTGCATTGTTCAACAGAGTAGCTAATAACCGCATCTGGTTACTAAGCACTTCAAATGCGCTGATCTGACTTAGGAATGAAGTATTTAGGAAATACAAATCTGGTGCATAATTAAAATATAGAAAGTAGGGGGCTGGGGGGAAGGAGTTCTGTAGCCTAGTGGCAAGAAGCTGCACGGTTTCAATTCACCAGATGCTCTGCTGGAGAAGTATGGGCAGTTTCCTTCCGTGGCAGTCGGAACTGACTCGACAGTACACAAAATTTAAAAAAAAAAAAATTAAACTGGAAAGAAAACGTGTATAATCCATTATTCTGACTACCTAGATCTCTATCACAAAGAAATGAAATAAATTGGGAACCAAAAATTTAGCTAACATAATGTAACATTAGTGACCACATTATATTCTATTTAATAGTAGTTCTCAACTAGGGGTTATTTTCCATTCTAGATACATTTGGAAATGTAGCAATACTTTTGGAAATGCTCTTATGCTTTTGGAATCTAGAAGATAATGTTATGGTTGCTGCTAAACTGTGTATAATGCAGAGGGTAGACTTCTCGCTCACCCTATAACAAAGAATTAGTAAGCCCAAAGTGTCTAGTGCATGGTTGAGAAACCCTACTGCCTACTATGATGACAAATGTTTATGTCTGAAAACACTAGCCATTAATGCGAGTCAGATAATACAAGAATGAAGCCTTGTACCTGAATATTGGCATTTTCATCCTGCAGTTGAGCTGGCTTTTTTCAGAATTTAGTATCAATATTTTGCCTTTAATTTATCTACAAAAAAGATGGTCTTGTTCACTACATATCTCCTAGTACCTGACATGAAAGGTATTTAACATCACTCATTGGTTACCAAAACTTACAATGTTCTTAAGAAAGAGAAGATTACAAATTACTGGAATTCCAAAATCCTTCTTGGCAATTTTAAATAATTAAAACAACTCCGTATCTTCAAATTACCTTCAAAACTCTTGAATGATTCAAAAAGTTCAATGAGAGACTGAGTTGATAGTTGCTCATGATACTTAGAAGCCACCTGAACACAGATCTGCAGATTCTGACGAATATTGGCAGACAGCATGGCTCTGAGGCATTCGAGGGAGTCTTCTACAGATAAGGACCCAAAGTAGTTCACCAACCACTGAAAGACAAATCAGCAAAGCAAAGTAGAGCCTCATGGTAATACGAAATTACAGTCACCTAGCCCCACACACGTATTTTCAGTAGACTCATAAACTACTGCCGCTTGTTAGGCAAAAGAATGAAATACCTCAGGGTTCAGAAGATGAGTGTGAACAACTGCACGCTTTATGTCATACAAGTCAGTGAAATGTTCCAATGCACGCTGCAGTAAGCCAGCCTTTTCACACAGTTGAGCAATATGAGCCCGGTCATAATGTGTGAACATCTGATTTCCCAGAATAGCATCCGCAACCTAAAAAATCACAAAAAGAGTAAGTTCATTTCAGGATATCACTGATCACATATTAAGATTAAATAGTAACCATATAAAGGAGACAAAGAAATGTTAGCTAGTTTTTCGTGAATGAGTAATATATTTATCAGTAGCTTTAAATAAATCCCAGAGGCTCTAAACTACTAAAACAGCATTGAAAATACGTCTAAACAATTGGACAATTAAAACAGACATTCAAGGGGGGAAAAGAAAGAACGAACTGGAGAGGAGGGTAGAGAAAACAGTGCAACAATGAATGAATGAATGAAAACCCAAAATCTCTGTAAATGTTCATTAAAACTAATAAAATTTAATAATAATAATAATAAAAAAAAGAAAATACATCTAAAAGGCTTGAAAAACATACTTGAGGTGCATGCATAAGGTTCATCTCAAGCAACCGAGTCTGCAGAGGACCTTCAGAAGGGCGATTATTCTTCAGGGCATCAAGCAAAAATGCAGTACACTGCTGAATCAGATTGTATTCCATAAAGACATCCACAATCTACAAAAATAATTTAAAAGAAATCATTTAAAACATGTAGATGGTATACATTATTTTGTTACTTGTTTTTAAGGAAAATTGTTTATCCCTATAGTTGTTGTTGTTGATTGCCTTCGAGTCAAGCATGATTCATAGTGACCCTACCAACAAAACACCTGAAACCCCTCTACAACTACTGACATTTATCAAGAGAGATACAGGTTTAATTCCCACAAAGTTAAGCATCTAAAGCTGTTCTAAGCATAGTCTCCTACTTTCCAAGTAAAAAAGTCTATAATACACATTTAAAAAAGTTTACAAAATATATCTTAAAGTTTTTACCTGTGTGATATCAGCAAGGGGTTCTTCATCCTGAACCAACATTTGAGCAAACTGCTGACCCTGGTCCGGACTGATGCGCATCACATTCCTCAGCAGAAAGATCCAATCTGGAGTGTATCCAACCTACAAATGGACAAAATGGTAAAGGTACTACTCACTAAGTTTCTTTACTTTCCATTAAAAAAAGAAGTTATAGTTCCTTTAAAATAAAAATGTTGCTAATTTAGAACCACTGACAAAAGTATAAATTCAATTTAAATTAAGAATGAACAATTTGACCATGGTGGGTTTTCTTGGTAGAAAAACAGAAACCTGGTGATGACATATGTGAATGTAAAGCTGGGCATCTTAAGAAATAGCTTACCCATTTTCAATGGATGAGCATTTCAAATTTTAACAGGTTCAACAGCCTCTGCCCTCTTGAAAGAGAAAGAAACAATGCAACTGCATAAGCAATGCAAAAATAACTGCTTCTATTTTGTTAAGTCTGAATTATAAATGACAACTATGAGGGTTTTTAACTTTTTAAAGTAGTTCAAAATTTAAGGAAATTCACCATTCAAGTCACAAAGAATTGCCGCAGCCTAATTTCTATCTTAAGTAGTGCAAATGGTGTAGTGTGTGACTTGTGGAATGGTGAATGAAAAGGTGAGTATTTTCCTTCCATAAAGATACCAGCCTTGGAAACTGCATGGAAGAATACTGTAAGTGAAGTGACTCAAAGGCAGTGGTAATGTCTACTGTAATGATGTAATAAATTTATGTTGAGAATTTGTTTCATTAAACTCACTTTTTTAGCATATAAAACAATCTTCTGAACTTGGCCCGTTTCTGCAAAGCACTGAATGACTTTATTTGGGACATTAGCTCTCAGATATACGCTAAGTGCCAATGTAGGATCCACAGATTTCACCAGATCACCTAGTTCTTCAGAACATTCCAACTGCCCAAAAAAAAAGAGATTGTTTAATGATCAATCTAGGAGCTGTTTAATGAAAATAATGATTTCACTATAAAGAACTATTAGGTACTCAATTATAAGTAATAATATAGGTATTTAGTGATTCAATTCCCCCAGAATATATTAAAAATAAATATGCAGGAATTTTAAGCTGTAAAAACGATGACCTTGTAGTCATCCTATGATGTGGTGGTAGAATTTTCCAAAAATAAAAAAACAAAACAAAACCCAAAGTATCTCAATAAATCTTTAAGTTAATAAGCACAAAAAACTCACACCCCAAAAATTCATGAACATGAGTACTAGCAAGAACCTGATTAGGGATAAATGTAGTTTATTTAAAGAAACTCTTATACTTCTAACTAGTAAGAAAATTCCAGTATCAGATTCACAGCGTCTCAAGTTTTTAAAAAATTTTACATCAAAAATGTCAGTGTAACATTATCAAATGGAGGAATCTGATGAAGTTTAACTGTAATAAACACTATTAAAATTAGGGTATAACTTCTATGTTTGAAGGATCTACGTCCCATTAGCTTTCTGACTGTGAGACATTAGACTGTAAGGCAAGACAAATTTACAAGGTGAAAGATAAAATTTTAGACTTTTAGGAGATATGCATAAGCAAATATTACCATGTATTATCTGACTTGCCTTGATAAGTCAGCCTCCCACTCTGAAAAGTGGTTTCCTCCTAAAATCATTTTGCTTTATATATTAGAGTTAATTTCCTAATAGTAATGGTTAACTTACAAATAATGGTTACACTGTAACTAAAATTCAGATGTGAGAAATAACAAGCTCTACCAAAAGTCCAGTCCTCTAAAAAGTTAAAGAGGTTAACTAGTGAAGACTGTTCAGTGTCTCTCTTCACAAATGGATCATAACAAAAATTAATTCCCAAAATGCTTTTATCTCTCTGCTATATAGGTTAACTCAGCAGTTATCCTTTCTTAAACACTTAGGATGGACATGAAAGTATTTCGAATAGTACTACCTCAGTTCTTAATAATGATTAAGTACAGGCAATTTCATTTTATCACTTTGTAGAAAAAGGCTGTCCATGGAGGTATGGAAGGACTAGTCACACTAACTGGTGCCTTATAAATAGTACTATGATGACTTTCTGTGTAAGAAATCAATAGAGAATACAAAATGCATAGAGACATTTCACAGTTCAAGAATTTGGTAAATAACACACACAAAAAAACTATTTAAATAAATTTTAAGACATTAAGTTAACTATTTCTTCCTTTAACATCAATAAATATTCTTTGGAAAATGGCATTTCATTATAGAGAGTTGTGCTATCTAAAGCTGTGACTCAACATTCAATACTGTTTCCTAGCACCAACATATTGATGATACTTTGGAAGTTCTAAAAGGAAAGGACAGAATATTTGTATGGTTGAAACTACTGTGCCTTTCAAGTGTGAAATAGAAAAATATATTCTTATGACCAAATGAATGTCCTAAATATTCACAAATATGAATGCATAAGGAAGTAAGCTTTCTTGCACTAAGCTTTTCCTAAAACAAAAAGTTAACAATTCACTTCCAGGACTAGAAGTTTTATCTACTCAGCAAGAATACGGGATTGTTTTTAAAAAGCAAAATAATTAAAAATGTCCCTCTTCAATGTGTCGTAAAAATTTCCAGAAGGAAATCTATACATCTCATAAATGTTTGTTCCGAAAACAGAAAAGATGCTTAATAAATAATGAATGGATACATTTTGGTACAGCCTCTCTAGGCTTGCTTTTACCTTGCTAACATGTTATTTTATTTAATGATGTTAACAAGTTAACCTACCTTATCTTCTTTTAACCACTTCTCCAAAAGCTGTTTACGTCCTTGCTGAAGTACAGGTCTACAAAGTTCTAAGGATTCATATTTGTTCAGTTGGCCCTGGTCCAAAAGAATTCCAAAATACTGAAGAAGTGGAGAAGTTTGACCTGGCTGAGCTGGGACACTCTGGAAGCGGCGAATGGTGTCTGGAGTACGAAGGATCCCCTTTAAGAAAGTGAAATTTTGAAGACTTGTAAAATGATTCAGACATCATGTTAATAATTCTCATACATTATTAATCTTAAATACAGGATTTTATCTACCAATATCAATTTCTGATTTTATATATCCACAGTAAAGTTTCAATCAATAATATCACAGCTCTACTTCATTATCATGAGATTATTTAGAATTGGAAATAGACCACTATTACAGTACACAAGAGACCAAATGTATATAAACAAAGTACATATAGCTACTTACTTCCTAAGTTTACAATTATTTTTTTCATGATAGTGCGGTTTGGGGATTGTTTTTAGGTTTTAATGAAAGCTTATAAAGAACTTGGATTTTCATTCATTCATTGTTGCACATTTTTCTCCTTGTCCACCCTCACTTTATTCTTTGGAAAAAAAGTTCTGTAATTGTTATACAGTCCCGTTCCCCCACCCTGAACTACTTTACTATGCAACTCTTATTCTAGACTCTTGTCATACCATTAATACCTAATCATATGTTCGTGGACTTTGGGGGAGGGATTGTGTAACAATGAAAGAATTTTTCTTTTACTTCTCAAAAAGAAGAGCAAATTGGGGGGAAGAGGTGGACAGGGGAAAAAATGCAACAATGAATGAGTGGAAATCCAAACTCTCTGCAAATGTTGATTAAAATTAATTTTAAAAAAGTTAAAAAAAAAAAAGAGTATTACCCATTAATCCAACCATTACAACTTCATTGTCTTAACTTTTTGTTTACCTTGGGTGCATTAGCAGCCACCTTTGCTGCCTCTGAGTAATTTCCCTGGGCAAAAAGAGCATTAAACTTCCGGGCAAAGAGTTCTTCAGCCCCAGCTAAGTTGTTACGTACAGCCATTCTCAGAGCCAAATCAGGATTTTGTAGGACATTGGTGATATAAGGAATTATGTTTTCTTCTTCCACACATACTGACAAAACCTGCAATAGAAAAATTAATGAATAGCTGCAATGTATTTTTATTTGGCTATAAATGAAGTTTAAATAATTATCTAGAGAAATGAAACTGTGAAACATACTTTTTTTGTTAGCAAGAGAAGGAAGGTGAGAGAGACATGTAGGAAAGTAAATACCAATGAAATAATTTTACTTTTCAAAGAGAAGTGTGAACTGGGGGGAGGGGTGGGCAGAGAGAAAAATGCAACAATGAATGTATGGAAATCCAAAATCTCTTAAATGTTCATTAAAATTAATTAACTCCCCCTCGCAAAAAAAAAAACCAAAAAACGTTTACGACCTCAATCCAAACTAGCCTTATTATTTACTTCTTACTAATTATCTCCTGAATCTGGAAATTTATTAGCCTAATCTTGAAAATTATTTATTCTGATGTAGCATACTTGCATCTACAAAATAACTGCCAAACACAAGGAAATTTTTTTTACATTTAGATTTGTGATTTAGCTAATAGTAAACAATTGAGCATATTTGGGGAACATATCTGGGTTTTCAACTACATGTTCTCATTTTCTTGCAGCTGTTTGATGCTGTGCATATAAATGCTGTCTATTGTCATATTCTGTTTATTCTTCTTTCAAGTAATTATTTGGTTTTGCTTCTTCCATCCATTCCCACAAACTTAGTCCACAGATTTTCTTCTTTAGTTCCTGTGGATGCGTAAATCACAGGGTTGCACAATTTGATGGGTGGAGGAGGTGAAGGAAATGGAAAGGATCTTTTGTGAAAAACAATATATTCAAACTCTGTATATAAATCAGTATAAAATTGAAAAAGGAAAGTCAGCCATAATGTTAAAGCTTAACTGCTTTCATACTTTTAGTCACTAGAAACCACGCATTCTTCACTTACTGGTGTATGCTCAGTTAGTAGTCTGCTTTGATAGAAAGGGTTGTGGAATTCTCTAAGGCTTAATACTGCTTAACTCCTTATTCAAACCAGCTGGCACATGAAAACAAGGAGGACTGAGATGGGTGTGGAGAGGGTAATTTAACTATCATTCAGAGCTCAGAATCAGTTACTAATATCAAATACATATGGTGAAATAATTTCAGATTCTCTAGCTAAAGCATCATCTTATAAATATTAGCACCGTAATGGAAAAAGTTTTCTAGTTTCACAACTTCATTACTGTTTGAAGATAAGTCCCTTTTCTAATGAAAGATACTGATGTTGTAGTTATGTGCCATGAGTCAGAACCGACTCATAGCTGGCATTCCAGGTTTTCAGAGGCTGAAAATCAACAGCAAGGAGATTCCATCTTTATCCTGTGGAGCAGCTGGTATATTTGAAACTGAACCTTTGGATCAGGAGCACAAATTCTTTGCCACTAGGCCATCAATGCTCCCTAATGAAAAATGGTAACTAAAATAGTTGAGTAAACAATTTAAATTCAGTGTGGGAAGTACTATAATAAAAATAAAAGTTATAGGAAGTCTCAAACCATGTCTAACATTGAAGTGAGAGATAAATAAAATACCTTTTTCTAAAGAAGTTTCATCACATATGGATACCCAATTTCATAAATCAACAGAAGATAGAGAACACAAAGCAAAAAACCAACTATCTACTTCATTTACAAATTATATGGGGGAAAAAATAAATTTGGAGAAATCTCGTAAAAGGCAATACCAGTAAGTACTGGCTTTAAATTACAGCCATTTTTCAGAAAATAAGATGAGCATCTCTGGTATCTGAAATACTGAGGGAGGGAAAAGAGTATTCTGTCAAATAAAGAAGAGCATATGTTTTTCCTATTCAAGCAGATAACTTTCCAAGTACTGCAGTAGGTACAGTAACACATTATCTTCCAACATTAAGTATTTAATAACACATCATTAAAGAGTTAGGAAAAAGAATGTAGGAAGAATTATTTTCCCTGTAGTTTATAATCTGCTTTGGAGATTTTAAAAGGGGAAAACGATCCATAAATAAAGGATATGGTCTGTTAAGTATGGCCCAAGCCATTTCTTTGCATGAAGAAGCGCTTCTTTTGATAATAAAGACATTATACAGAATTTTTTAAAATTGCATTCAATTTGTTATTATCAGGTAAGTATCATTGCAGCTTACAGACTGGAAAAAAGAGAACAGTAGCAAGTATTATTTTATTGCTTAATTTCATTTTCAAAGTTTCCTTACTTGTCCCTTTCTGTTGACTCCAATTATTCCAGCTGTGGCTTCATGAGGTGCTGTAACAAATATTGTTTCTCCACTGATTCTATTCATGTAGATGCAGGTACCAGTCTCAAGATCATAGAGGTGGATATAGCCATACTTGGTAATCAAGAATACGACATCATGTTTTTCACTGATCTGTTCAAAGAAAATCAGTATTTCACAAAAAGAATGAACCATCTAACAGAAAAGAAGAAAAATAGTACAATAGGGTTTTAAAAGACAGTGAAATTCTAAAACTCTGACAATGGGCTTATATTAAAAGGGAAAAGCTAGTATTCCTGTTTTAACACATTTAAATACAGCATAGCCCAAGCTTATATAAAACTCAAGAAGTATATGAATGAGGTCTCTTAAGAGGACATCACCTGAACAATTTTGGGCAATCTTCTTTATACATTAGTGAAAAGATAGAATATTTTTGAAAAAAGTTTCACTAATGAACCATTTTATGATGAAAGGTAATCATTAAACACCTCTTAGAGGATTGAGTAGTTTATGAACTTTATTTTTAAAAAGAATATTAAAAGTTCATTTATTCTGCCTAAAATACCTGCATTGCAACAGGAAAATCATTTTGTGCTTCTGGAGGAAAGAAAACATCCACTGCCTTCTTTGGAAAAGGCTGGTTCCCTGTAGGTGGTGTGCCAACTTCAATGATATGTAACTGTTAAAATAAAATATACTGAGTAAGAAAAAGCCAATCTCAAAAAGTCTTAAGTACATAGTAAAATTCTTGAAAGTCTAAGATTACAGAGCTGGAAACAAATTAGTGGTTGTCAGGGACAGGAAACAGAGTTTTAAAGCACTTGACAAGAGAAACCTAACAGCTTCCATGAAGGTTGCAGCTTTAAAATCGAACAGGCAGTTCTACTCTTGGGTACAGGATTTCTCAGAGTCAGAATCAACTCATGGCAACAGGGGGTTAAGGGATGATGTAGCAGAGGTAGCTGAATATAATAAAAAATGTAGCATGAGAAAGATCTCTGTGGTGATGAAATGCACATTAAAAAAATTATCTAATCTATTCATTAAAAAAATTGACAGAAATAAATAAACACACACACACACAGAGTACCAATGTCAATTTCCTGGATTTGTTATTGTACCATACTTATGTAAGATGCAACTATTTGAGGGAAATTTACGGCTTAGTGGTAAGAAGTTTCAATGCCAACCCAAAAGCAAGTGATCTGAATTTGCCAGTTGCTCTGCTGGACAAAAATAGGAAAGCTCCCCTCATGTGGTTTATGATTCTCTGAAAACCCACTGGAAGGTCAGCTATAAGTTGATTCCAACACAAGAAGCAACATGCAAGGGACAGAGGAGATTGTTTTGAACTGTTATACAACTTCCTAAAATTAATTAAAAAAAAAAAAGTCAAGTTAGTTCAATATATGAAATATAATTACACTTCAAAGAATCTACTTTAAATAAAGGACTTAAAATACTAAATATTGCCCATAAAAATACTTGCTCAGGCTTTAAATTATAAGCTAATACTCCAATTTAAATTGTTTAATTCTTCTCTGCCTGTTCATCTAACACTAACGGAACATATAAGACTAAATTAAGTTATATTTCTAAGAATATTTGCCCTATATATAACTGATAACAATTTCATTTAAAATGTCTGATGAAGCACTTCAACAGGTAAAAGTAAATTATTTCAATAAAAGAGAATTGGACATTTTACTTAGTCATGTCAGGAACAAACTCAAATTAATTCAGCTTCAAAGATATATACCACATATAATATAAAAAATATAGAGGAGGCTCATTTCTAATTAGATGGCAAGCAATATTGAAAACATGATTTTCTTCAAAAGTCATGGCAGACTATACAAGATAGAGCAGAATGTATTAAATAAGCACAAGAAACTATAAGTGCTGAAGAAGAATGGCAATCTACTTCCATGCAAATAACTGCCTCTGTACACCTGCTAGAAGGTTAGCTGTGGGTTGGATCTGATTCAATGGTACTCAACAACCACCTAAAAATATGCTTTCAAACATTGTAAGGGATAAAGAAAAACCCTGACGTTTTTTCTTAGGTGGTGGTGGCGATCATCGACTTGGAACTGACCTATAACTGATCTTCCAGCAGGTTTTCAACAGCAGTTTAATTGAATGAGAGGAGACTGTTCATCTTCCTCCGCAGAGCATCTGGTATATTCAAAACGCATGCCTTTGGAATTGTAGTGCAACTTCTTAGAACTAGGCCATCAGTTTTCTTAATTGTAGCTGTTATGTGCTGTCGAGTTGCCTGTGACTCATAGCAAACGTAGGTCCTGTAGCTCTGAACTGTGCCTTGTCCTGAGCCAGTCTCACTAATTCCAACATACCAATCCCCAATGCTCTCGTTACTGCATCAATGCATCTCATCCAGGGTCAATGCATCTCATCCAGGGTCTTCCTCTTCTGCACTGTCCACCCACCTTTCCAAGCATGATGTCCTTCTCCAAGGACTTGTCTCTCCTGGCCATGTGCCCAAAGTATGTGAGATGAAGTTTCAAAATCCTAGCCTTGAAGGAGAAACCGTTTTTTTTGGTGGTCCACGGTATGTTGAAGACTTCATCAGCATCAAAATTCTTAGACATCGATTCTTTTTCTCCTCTTTAGTCCCTTGTCCAGCTCTCTGATGCATAACAAGTAATTGAGAAGACCATGGCCTAGATTACATGCACTACAGTCTAGACTGATATTGTTGCTTGTCAACACCCTGGAGAGGTCCCTAACAGCAGATTTTCCCAGAGCATTTTGTCTTCTGATATCCTGACAGCTAGTGCTTAATCTCCTCTTCATCAATCATGGTGCTGCCAATTGGCCCATTTGTGAGAATGTTTGTCTTCTTGATAAGCTTCAATCCATATTGATACAGTCCTTGATCTTCTACAGCAAGCCCTTCAGGTCCTTCTCAATTTCAGCAAGCAAGGTTGTGCCATCTGTATAACATGGTTTGTTGATAAGTCTTCCTCCAATCCTGATACCACATTCCTCCTTATAAAGCCCTGCTTTCTGAATGATCTGTTCTGAAACAGACTGAAAAGCTATAGAGACAGGATTTTGAACCAAAATGCATATTGCTCTGCTCTGTTCTGAGGACTGCTTCCTGGTCCAAGCATAGACACAATTAGTGTGTTCTGGAATTCCCATGTTCCTCAAGGTTAGCCACAATTTGTTGTGATCCACACAGTCAAATGCCTTTGCAAAGTGAATGAAACACAGACAGACATTCCTCTGGTACTCTGTTTTCTGCCAAGATCCATCTGACATTGGCAATAATGTCATTAGTGCCATGACCTCTTTTAAACTCAGCTCGCATTTCTGGTAGTTCTTTTCAATGTACTGTTCAGTCATTTCTGGATAATCTTCAGCAGGATTTTGCTACTGTATGGTATGAGTGATAGTTTGATAATTTCTACACTCTGTCAGGTCATCATTTTTTTTGGAATTGGAATAAATATGGATCTCCTCCAGTCAGTTGGTCAAGTATTTGTCCTCCAGATTTCTTGGCACAACTTGGTGAGCACATCCAGGGCAGCATCTGTTTGTTGAAATATGTCAATTGGTATACCATCAATTCCTGGGGCGTTATTTTTGGCCAAGTCCTTCCTTCAGAGCAGTGTGAACCTTCTTAGTAGGCTCTAATAAAAAATAAAGTCCCATCACTATGCCTTAACACATTTTTTTAAAGGGCAGTTTTTGTGATTTTATTTAGCACAAATGAAATGTGTAACAAAGCTTTCTATTCATTTTCTTCACTGTGCAGCTTGGCATTGGGATTGGTCACTCTAATGGTTAGAGTGGGCTGTTCTTCCCATGATGGCTTTGTGGTTCTTAGAGGAAATAATGTGAGCAATCTCAGCACAACAGGATTTGCTCCACATTAGCAGCACTTCAGCTCCTTGAAATTGTGGACTAGGTATTTGTAGAAGCCACTGTGCATGTATTCTGCTCTAGTAACCAATGTTGATATGAAGATCTGGCCCTTTAAAAATAGAAAAACCAAAAGATGTGGCCCTTAAATCTTCTCCAAACTCTGTTCTGAATGAATGCTCCTCTGAGCTTACCTCAATCACATTTAATTTTGTCATAAAGGTCTCACCAGTGCCGATGAACTTCTTGGTCCTCTTTTTGATGATCTTTGGCTTTACTAGGGCTCTGAGCACAGTCATTTTACCAAAATGAGAGAACTACTACCTCCTCAGATAGTACTGAGGGAGGGAACACCTTAATACATTTTTATATATGTTTTTTTTTTAAATTATTTCTTTAAGGGGAGCTCTGGTGGTCTAGTGGTAAGAAGCTGCAACTACAATCCCAGAGGCGCACGGTTCAAATCCACCAGATGCTCTGCGGGGAAAAGGAGGGACAATCTCCTCCTGTACCAGTCAGATCTGATTTGACGGTACATGCACAGAAAAATAATAAAAAATTAAAAAAAAATTATTTCTTTAAAAGAGAGATCTCTTTATACAGAAGCCCTGGTTGACAGAGTGGTTAAAGAATTCAGCTGCTAATCAAAAAGCTCAAGAGTCTGAACCAACCTGACGCTCCAAGGAAGAAAGATGTGGTAGTCATCTTCCCTAAAAATGTAAACACCTGGAAATCTTATAGGGAATTTAATTCTGTCCTACACTGAGTTGGAATTGAGTCAACAGCAGTGGGTTTGGCATTTTTTGGCTGCTAAGTGTCTTTGTTTAAATTCTATCATTCAGCTCTAAACCTCAGTGCTTTCCATATTTATTATTTAGTTTTCTGTTATATTTTATTTCTTGGTTCAAGTGATCTTTCACTTTTAAAAATTTAGGCAGAAATGTACTCCTCTCTGGTGTATATATCTACCTCTCTTCCAAGAAGCTAAACATTATCACATCTTCAGTAGCACCCAAAACCAAGCCTACTGCTTTTGGGCCTGCTCCAATTCATAACAATCCCCCATTGAGTTTCTGAGGCTTTAAGACTTTGTAGAAGACTACTCTTATTTTTCTCAAGGAGCAACTGGTGAATTTGAGCCACTGCAGCCTAATATATTAGGGCTCCAGAAAAAGGGGGCAGCAGCACAAGGAAAAAAGTAAATATAACAAAACTAAAGTTAGTTTCTTCCCTTTAGTGTGCAGAGGATCTGAACGTTGACTGGGGGATGGAATTCATAAAGTTATGCTTTGAGTTTTGATGGAACCAAAAATTCTAACTCACTGCCATCAAGTTGGTTCCAACTCATAGTGACCTTCATTTTGATTCCAAAGACTGTAAATCTTAAAGGGAAGAGACTGTCCACCTTATTCCCATGGAGCCACTAGTGGATCTGACCAACGAAGATGTATGACTACCAGCACAACTTGTGAAAGACCATGCTACCAGAGTCCTTTTGTAAAAATATTCTTCACAATTTCTGATGGAAACCAGTCTTTTGTTCCCCTTATTTTCCTCCTCTTTTCTTAGTTTTCCCCCAGCCCCCATATCAGTCCTATTTTATAACAGTGGTATTATGCCATACTGTCATTTTTGTGACAGATTTTTTACTCTGCATAATGTCCTCCAGGGTCACTCATTTTGTATAATAATTCATGAGTTCCTTGATTTTCAATGCGGCATAGTATTCCCTTGTGTGAACATACCAAGGCTTCTCTATCCATTCTTGTGTTGATGGGCACTTGGGCTGTTTCCAACTCTTTACTATTATGAATAAAGCCACAACAAACATGGGTGTGCATATATCTGCCTGGGTGGCAATTACGGTTTCTTTAGGGTACATTCCCATTAGTGGAACTGCTGGGTCAAATGGTATTTCTACTTGCAACTTTTTGAGAGAGCGCCATCCAGCCTTCCATAGTGGCTGCACCATTTTACACTCCCACCAACAGTGAATAAGGGTTCCAGTTTCTCCACAACCTCGCCAGCATTTGCTATTTGCTGTTCTATTTTGCTATTCTGACTGGGGTGAGATGATATCTCACAGTTGTTTTTATTTGCATCTCTCTTTTTTTTTCCTATAATTATATTTTATTAATTTTCATAAACATTTACAGAGATTTTGGGCCCCCACTCACTCATTGTTGCACTATTCTCTCTACCCTCCTCCCAGTTTGTTCTTGTCCAAATGCCAGTGCTTGTCAAAGCCAGTTCTGATTAATCTTCTTTGTCAGTGTATCCTTTGCCATTCCCTATCACTCCTCCCTGAGAGAGACTTCACCCTGAGTCATAAGGAAAAGGGGACGGCGTATTCTCTTAGCTACTTCCTGCTGAAAAGGGACGCTGTGGGTTTCAGGGTGAAGATCTTCTCTCACTACTCTAAAGGGCCCCTTTGGCAGTAGGAAACACATAGACTATTATGGAGCTTGATTTTGGAATTTAGATGCACTCTTATTGATTGTGCTTGGCTGTACATGTACATATCCTTGAAGATGTATCATGGGGGTGTTGTATTTGCATCTCTCTTAGAGCTAGGGATTTTGATCATTTCTTCATGTGCTTGATCACCATCTGAATGTCTTTGGTGAAGCGTAATCCATTTTTTAAGACTAAACACAAACACTCAATACTTGTTTTCTAAACCTCTCTTAGCACTGGGAATAGGAATCTAAGAAAATGTCATTAAGACTTTATTTTTTTTTTTTTGCATTAAGACTTTAAAGATGCTACTTCGACTATGTAACAACAGTCACACACGTTCCCATTTTCCAAGTTTGGTTCTGCAGCAAACCTAGCTAGTTTAAGCTATCAAATAGCCTTTCAAGTAAATATTTTATGCTTTAACTATCCAGACCTTGCTTCTGTTGCCTGCAACTAAAAAACTCTAACATAACAGTCCTTCAGTTTGTTCATTACAAAAATAGCTCAACTGTCCAACCATGGACATATCCCTACTCCCACCCCTCTTTCTTTAAGTCCATTTCCCTGAACCCACTCTGATTCAAGTGATCCAAAATAGGGTTTTCTACATTTATATTTGAGTTTTTCAAATAACCCCAACATGTGGCCCAGGACTGAAAACCTCAGACTTAAGGTAATGTTACTCAAACCGGAATCCACATTCGAGCTACATCAAGTCATCTGTGATTATTTAAAATGCAGACTGCAGACTCTATCTACTGTATTACTTTCTCTGGATACAGAACACAGGAAACATTTTAGCAACAAAGTTGGAAAACAATGAAAAAGTCTCTGGTAAAGGCAATAAAAATTATATCTTACATACTATAAACAGATGATTTTTTTAAAAAATGGCTAAAGAATAAGTAATATGGCGAGAGCACAGTATTCTTTTTAAACAAAAATTATCCTAGTTGCTAAGAGACAAAACAATAATTAGAAATGGAATTTACGACTAAGAGAGACAACACAGACCTAAATTAGTATTAAAAGCACATTAAACACAACAACAAAAAAGGACATTAACACAGAAGGAGGGAGGGAAATCACAGAAAATGAGATGACTAGAAGCAAAAAGATAAAAGACATTTCATTATCATAAAAATATTTTTCCATAGATGTTCATTGAAATGAAAAATAAACAACCTAAATTAATAAAAAAAAATTTTTTTCCAAAGCCAAAACTTACCTTCCCTCCAGCTTGACCACGTACCGCAAAACAAAACAACGTTGATTCTTCTGCATTTCCTTCCATCTTAAACTGTGCGAAGCTAGCTGCATGTCCTTCAATAGGCTGGGATACTTTTCTATCTACAGAATAAAGCTGCATAGCTCCAACCACTCGATTTTGCTAGAAAAGATCAAAGAGAATAAATTTAGGGGATCTAATAAACATATTTAGGGCATATTCTTAGGAAAGGTTATTCCTCAGAAAGGCCATCACGCTTGAAAGGTGGAGGTCAGCAAAAGGGAGGAAGATCTTCAACAAAACTGATTTGCACAGTGGCTGCAACAATGGGCTTAAGTGTATCATAGATGATAATGATGGCACAGGACAGAACATGGTTCAGATCTCTTGCTTATAGGGTCTATGAGTTGTACTTGGCACTAAATGAAACAGTAACTACCAGCTTCAGCTTCACCAAATAGTACAATAATTTGAATGCTTTATAATTTTTAGTGTTATTTTACTTCTCAATGAAGATTTTATATCCTTAATGCTCAATTCAGTTCCAAATAAAATCTTATTAAAGATTAACTTGATTACTTATAATTTGTCTCACAAGCAAGCATCTTTATACACAGTCTCAAAGTATTAGAAGTACTCACTACAGTATACATCCTCTACAATAAATTTCAAATCATTCAAATGGGGAACTGAATTTCTACTCCAAAAAGGGGCTAAAATGTTCACCTGTGCAGAGATGCCAGTCAGAAGTAGCCACTTCTGCTTTGCATCTGTACGGTAATTGATGATCTGGCACCCAGCCAGACTAGAATGGCGATCAAACATTTTCACTGGCTGAGACTCTCCTTCCATACTCCAGTGATAAACGGCATTATCCGTAACAAGAGCGACGGTATTCAAAGAGATCCATTTCCAAAAGGTGACATCATCAGTCATGGTATGGGCCTTCATTTTACTTTTCATTTCGATGTTAAATATCTGAAGAGTTTTCCCAGCTAAAAATAAAATTAAGAATTTAGAAACTATTTAAAAAAAAAGTTCAAGATGAATTAATAACTAACTCTGTAACTAACTCTATCTTCTAAAAGAAGTAGTTCTATCCTGAGACTCATAATTATGAAAGTCACAATGATAGAGTAGAACAAAAAAGCAATAACTGAGCTTAATCAAAACCTTAATCAAAAACTATACCTCTAATAAGTACATCTTAGCATAACTTTCATAGAATTCTAAATACAAACTGAAAATCTGTCTAAAGAACAATTTTCAACAAAGGAAAACAAGGAACAAGATTATAACCCTCATATTTACTAAGTTAATTTTATACATACGTTAGTAGGTGGTACACAGAACAAAGCAAATTTCACACAAACACATGGGAAAATGTCTACTTTAGAAAAGTCAGTCATCTCCCATCTAACTAAATCTTAAAGAAACAGCTTTTTAAAAAAGGATCTACTTCAACTCTGCCAGTTGCACTAGCACATAAGAGACGGGCATGCTACATTCAACTGATTGACAATACAAAGGAAAGGTAGAAGTACTAGAGGAAAGGAAGCGAGACAAAGCAGGACAGTTTTAGATGCTGTTAATATACTAGAGATAAGAACAAAGTTCAAGCTTCATCCCAAAGAGAAAGCAAGCATTTTAGTAAAAGAAGGATGAAATTTGCCAGTGTTAAGAGTCCACTGAGTCTGATGCAAGGGCATATACTTATAATTGGAAACCCATCACAGTCCAGAGTCATTTTGTTTAAATTAATAGAGGTCAAAGTCCACAACTCTCACTAGACTAACAAGTCCTTAGAGGTTAAGGAAAACTCCATTCCTGAGCCACAGAGAATCTGGCTCCTGAAGGACAAAATTAAGAGTTTTGTTCTAATTTTATTTTGGAGGAAAGGAGTGTGTGGAAAGGAGAGTACACAGAAAACAAGTACCTTTGTACTACTACCCTTATCACATGTGCAAAAAGTTCTTCCATAAAACAGACTGCTATTCCCATCCCACACAATAGGTAAACCACAACCAGACTTGAAAATTGTAAGAGTTAGAGTCCTGCTTATAAAAAGAAGCCAAGGGGTTTAAAACTAACTTCAGAGGAAAAACAATACTTGGGAATTACTTTCTCTTGCTGCCTTCCCCAAACTTCTAGTTATTAGATTTGTATTCTTTTCTATATGAAAGATAAGGAGCATGTTATATGTATATATTAGGGAGGGTTTGAGGAGGGAGGCAAGGAATGACAGTTCAACTCCACAGAATATATAGATAGGTACAAATTTAATACACAATCAAATACTAATATATAATACTTTGGAACATTTTAAATTTATTCTTTTTATAGAACAGGACAATAACTAATACAACCTAATTTAAGATAACTCACCATCTGCACACATAAGAAAGCATTAAGAAATGTGATAAGATAACAATAACATTAAAAATAGAAAAGAATTTTGACAAAATTAATTGATGGCCTTTTAGTAGTGGTGTGATGATTACTAAGCTGTTGATAAATCTTTAGGGAGGTTGAAGAGTTTAGTATCTTAAGCTACTATATATATTTTTTTCTTTAAATAGAAGCAAAAAAATTACTGCCTAAAAAAAAATGTGATCCTAGGGAAAAAGCTTAACCATTTTCCTTGAGGCAGATACATTCCTATCTTCGATACAGGAGAGTGGCTTACTTGTTTGAATATGCTTGCCCCATCCCACACTTTCCTCTCCAAACAGCACTGTCATGAAATACAGAGGTTAAGTCACATTTTAAAAACGACGATAAGAACTTCAGTGCCTCTAACAATTTACCCAAAAAATTATCAAGAAGTTTCTGAGAATCTGAACTCTTCCTTTCTCATTACCAAACAAACAATTAAATGCCTTTTTAGAGTTAGTTTGTCAACTCGGCCTCTTAAAAAATTTTTGTTTTAAAGAGTCAATTGTATTCTCACTATAAAGTCCAAATAAAACTATAGACTCCCTGATAGCATGAATTTCTTTTAATTTAGTCAATTAGCCAAGCTAATATAGCCAAGCTGTATAGTTTCCTACTGTAAAATTTACAAGGTTAGTCTGAATAAACTCAAGTCTTGATGTCCAATCTTTAGCATACACACAGACTTTATACAATCAGTATCAATTCAAGCCACTTTTAGACCTTAGTAATCTAAATGAAATGTAAAGTATAAACATGACAGTGTAATATGGAACTAAGGCTGTATAATTTGTGAAAGATAAGTTTACCAACATAAATACCAAAATGCTCAAGAGATGATTATTAGTAAAGTGAACTTCAATCCAGAATATAAATCACTATATTATTTCTTTTATATGAAGTTGTGTTTTTAGCACAGCATTACACCACATGTATTAAATTTAAATGTATTTATTAAAGAGTATTTCCAAATAGATTTATGCAGAGTAGAAATGAAGATTATTTTAGAAACATTATAAGTCATCAAAGTAGATACAATTAAGTTCAACAAATCATTTAACCAAAGAGCTATTTTATTTAACCAAGTTTAATCAATATATTAGAAATAAAGGCCCTAATTATTGGATTTGGGGGAAAAATTGAAAGAAAAGAGTCTTAAGGAAAAAGTCACATATTCTTTTTTTTTACCTTTCAGTGCAATTACTTTACTGGCTGGATTCATGATGGCACTGTCTGCTGAAATTGGTCTTCGAATGGGATTACTCGGGTCATTCATATCAATGATTACCACCTGGGCTTGTTCTCCTACTTTCTCTCTAATGCAGATGAATTTGTCTGACTCCATAGTCAGAGTACTGAAGCCAATATTTGCTGGGTTAATACCTAGGTTCTGGAGCTAAAAGAAAGAAAGAAAAATTAGTAAACCATGTCACAAAGCAGGTTAGAATTTCACCTTCATATATTGCCTTTATTAGAACCATCAGTTCTCCAAGGTCAACAGTGACAAGTGTATTGTGTCAATTTAAGTGAGGCAATTAAGGGCTAAATGATAGATATTTTGTGCTATTCTATGGTTTTTAACTGTTTTTGTCATAACCTTATGGCTATAACTAAAAGGCAAAATGAACAAAAAAGAAAATGAATGAAAAAAAGAAAAGGACTAACTGGCATTTATAGGTCAAAGGGATCTGAGGTCAACATTTCTTCATTTTTTTCCCCCTCCATTTATTTTAAGATCTTTGTGATCTATTTAGATTACTTCTAAGACTTCTTAACATTTAGTGCAATTAACTTGTTCAGATAGATTCTATTTCAGGAAATCTGAAAATTAAGCTACATCATAAAAAGAAAGAAGGCAGAGACGGACTTAGAATGTTGTAATTTGTAATTTAAAGGAAGCTGGGCTAGCAAGAATAGACCAATGAGTAAACAAAGTACAATATTGTGCAAAAAACTCTAGAAAAAGCCAAAACAAAGGTATTGAAGAAAGGTCTTGATAAAATAGAGTTACATATAAAGGAGACAAAGCTGAAAATCTCAAGAAACGTGTAAAGACTCAGTGATGCCCAATAGGCTATGAAAGGCTGGAGGAGTGGAAAAGCTGTAAAAATCGTTAAAAGCAAGGGCCAGACTGGCCAGCTTAATGTATTTCCAGTAAGAATCTTGAATTTATTCTACAGGTAAAGAGAATCCTGAATTTATTCTAAATTAAAAGAGATTTAATTAAGAAATGAAGGGGCTTTTTCTGTACTCTTACAAATAAAGTGATTACCTAAAGAGATAGATGATTATTTTAAAATCAAGTAAATGGATAACAACCTGTCATTTATTATGGGATAGACATCCCTACTAGGATGGGCCATTAGTACTATGAGTTAGAGATTTGAGTTTCACTGAAAGAGGCTATCTCAAGACTATCTTATTAGCCCTGCCCAGATTAAGTTGTCCTCCCTCACATCCCTTTCCTGCAATGTATAGTAAATTTACATTATTAAGAATAAGCAAAAAAATGACAAAATAAGGAGAAAAATTAAGTCTTTCTAGGTTAGTTTCGCAGCTCTCTAGTTTACCTCCTCAGCGATCACAACTGTCATTAAAACAAACTCCTTTAAACAGGCCAAGCTAGTTACACGTTGCCGCAAATGATGGTTAAATGTGTTTCTAAACACGGTCGTCAATTTAAAAGTGTGCGGCAATGTGTTAATGATATTTTACCTAAATATTTTTGTCAAGAGTACTTAAACATAGCCAAACCAAGATCGATATAAAATACAAGATTAAGAGGCTATGTTTTAATTTCACTTCCCTGTTGTACCTAAATGGCTGCATGTATAGCCAATTATAAACTGTAATTACAGCAACCCACACACTTAATACCAGGTCAAGGAGCCACACAATTGTCTAACCATTAATACAAACACGGTAATAAAGTAGAAGATTAACGAGCTTTACAATAGTATAAGTAATGCTGAAAGGCAAAGCAAGCACGTACACGGACCTGTGAGGTACATTTATTTAACTTTTGAGCTTGGCTATAATAAAAACCTATGTGAATTCTGTATTTTCAATTCTTCCTACCTTTAGTTTTGGTCCCAGAGCTTAAGAATTAAGAAGTTGTGAAATCTGTACTTCCTATTCCCTGCTAGATCTACAGCATAGAAGCAGAAAGAAAAGCCTAATTTTAATAGTGATCAATGAACCTTCGTCTTAAAGCTATCAAATGTTGCTGTTTCACTTGCAGAAAAAGCTTAGTAAGATTTGACTAAAACGGGGTGAAGATTTCGAGCACCTCTTGCAATCTTTGTAATTCATACAACTCTCTCATTTAAATATCTTAACAAAAGAGCTATGTATACACATAAATGGCCTTTCCCTTTAGAATGTACTAGTACTGATAAAAATGCTCTATGTAAAACAGACCTACATCTTCTACTTCAAAAAGGAAATGGAACTGGGCCAAGCAGCAAACTGATACCAACATTGCACATTTAAACATACAATGAGACATATTTCTTACTGATGGTAACTGACAAACAGAAGACTGCCTCCCCCTAGAAAGTCTTCCCTAGCCCTTAAGACAATTAGACAATTAAACACACTCCTACCTCTTGAAATACAGACTAAGATTCTTTCCCTGCTAGTGTTACTCTTCACTGAGACTGCTCAGAACACTTAACAACTTCAACACTTATATAAAAAAGAAATCTTGTAATATAGCAAGTCATCATAATAAAAATTCAAAGTTCAGGCTGCTTTGAAGGAAATGGCAAAAAATAAGGCTTCAGGAATAGATGGTATACCAATTGACATATTTCAGTTAACAGATGCTGCCATGGATGTGCTCACCAAGTTGTGCCAAGAAATCTGGAGAACAACCACTTGGCCAACTGACTGGAAGAGATCGATATTTGTTCCTATCCCAAAGAAAGGTGACCCAACAGAATGTGGAAACTACAGAACAATCTCACTGATTTTACATGCAAGCAAGATTTTACTGAAGATTATCCAAAAACGACTGGAAGAGCACATCAACAGAGAACTACCAGAAGTCCAGGCTGGGTTTAGAAGGGGTCGTGGTACTAGAGATATTGTAGCTGATGTTAGATGGATCTTGGCTTAAAGCAGGGAATACCAGAGGAATGTCTATCTGTGTTTCATTGACTATGCAAAGGCATTTGACTGTGTAGATCATAACAAACTATGGCTGACTCTGAGAAGAATGGGAATCCCAGAACACTTGATCGTTCTAATGCGAAACTTATACTTGGACCAGGAGGCAGTCGTCAGAACAGAGCAAGGGAACACTGCATGGTTCAAAATTGGGAAGGGCGTACGCCAGGGATGCATCCTATCTCCATACCTTTTCAACCTATATGCAGAACAGATTATCCGGGAGGCTGGGCTCTATGAGGAGAAATGTGGAGTCGATTTGGTGGACGATTTATCAACAATCTGCGTTATGCAGATGACACAACCCTGCTTGCTGAAACTGAAGAGGACCTGAAGCGCCTGCTGCAGAGTGTCAAGGACTGCAGCCTACAATATGGATTGAGGCTCAATGTCAAGAAGACAAAGATTCTCACGACCGGACCAATTGGCAGCATCAGGATGGATGGTGAAGAGATTGAGATTGTACACAGCTTTAGTTTGCTTGGCTCCATAGTCAACAGTCTTGGCACCAGCAGCCAGGAAATTAAAAGGTGCACTGCCATGGGAAAGTGTGCTGTTAGGGACCTCTCCAAAGTGCTGAAGAGCAGTGGTGTCTCTCTGGAGACTAAGGTGCGTCTGATACACGCCATGGTCTTCACAATCACCTGTTATGCATCAGAGAGTTGGACAATGACCAAGGAGGATAGAAGGAGAATTGATGCCTTTGAGCTGTGGTGCTGGAGAAGAGTACTGAGAATACCATGGACTGCTAGGAAAACAAACAGATTTGTCCTGGAAAGGGTTAAACCGGGTGGCTCCTTGGAAGCAAGGATTCTGAGGCTCCGTCTAACATACTTTGGACATGTTGTGAGGAGAGACCGGTCCTTAGAGAGGGACATCATGCTTGGGAGGGTGGAGGGACAGCGCAGGAGAGGAAGGCCCTCTATGAGGTGGATTGATTCAGTGACTGGGATAATTGGGATGGGAGTGTCGGAGACAGTGCGACTGGCACAGGACAGAGCGGAGTTTAGGGCTGTTGTACATAGGGTCGCTATGAGTCACAAGCGACTCGACGGCACATAACACCACCACCACCACCTTAAAAAATATTATCATATGAAAGTTTTATCAATACACAATATGGGGCTGACATAATTAATTTATTATATTAATCAATAATACAAGATGTCAATTAATGACTAAGTATAATCACTGATTTATAAGGCTTCACTCAAAACAGAAAAGACTACGCCTAGTAATATATGCATAGATGAAAACTTTTAAAACCTGCCCCATAAGGTTTCCAAGGCTCTAAATCTCATGGAAACAGCCTGGTTTATCTTTTTCATGCTCATAGCAGCTAGTGGGTCACACTACCATCTTTTCTATTGGCAACTCAAATCTTAATCCATTGTGCCACCAGGGATCGTACACAATACCTGAAATCCCAAAACCCAACCCACTACCAGTGAATCTGACTCAGAGCAACCATCCACCAGCTAAATTCAAACTGATAACCTTTTCTATAAAGTGTAATTGTAATACATAACTCACTATGTCATAATTTGTTCTAAGGTCTTCCATGTTGTACAGTATTTCACAAATTCTAGATTCTTTTTTGGTGATGTATAATACTCCAAGCTTTTCAATGTACCAGTTTCTTTAGCCATTTGGGTTGTTTCCAAATATTTAAAAGAGAACTTTTATTGTGCTGTTCTAAATGAAAACATGACATCAATAGATTTAAGATTTTAAAAGGTATTTTTTTCCAATAGTTTATGGCATAATACCTAGAGTGAAAATACCTATACTGTGAAAGACATTTGTTCCATCTTCCAGTATCATCTTCCCACGCCACTAGTTATGCATCTTAGATATCCTACAGATATATGAAAGTCTGTTTATATATCCTCCTCAAAAACAAAGCATACAAAACCAAACTAATGAAGCATGCACAAAAACATACTTATCAAATGGTTCATGTTTTAAAAGACTACATTTGTAACCTTTTTGGGCTCCACACTGGTTTGATTTGAGCCCTGTCCTAATCTGTGCCATCTTCAACATGACATACTTAAGCCATTGTTGCAATTACTGTATCCATTTCATTGTGGGTTTTCCTCTCCTTCACTGATGCTCTACCTTACCAAGAATGAGGTTCCTTTCCAAAGAACATCCCCTTCTAACAATAATTCCAAAGTATGTGAGATGAAGCTTTGTCATCCTTGCCTCCAAGCAGCATTTATG